ATCATCCTTGCTCTGCTCATGTCTGTGTAACTACCTTCCACATAACCCCTCACTAAATGAATGAATGTCTAGTCTCTTGAACACCTCTTGTGATACGGAAATCACTTATTCAACACTGACACCAACAAGGCCTCATGCTGAACACACACAAAGATTTCAATAGAAGGAGCTCATAGGTCAGTCGGTTGACAATTTATCTGACAAGATCAAGCCATGCTGTCATGTGGCTGGATGTTGCTGACTTTCAGATTCTCACAGGTCTCAGAAACACCAGGCAGAAAGAATGCTGCTAAAAAGTGCGTTTGGGAAGAAGAGCCCTGTACCCAGCAGGAGTAGGCATGTTGGCCTAAGGTTAATGCCCAGGAGTTAACTGGCATCCAGATGGGCACATCCAACCAAACAAGAACCAAAGTCCACCAAGACTTCAATTCTAACTAGAAGTAATTTTATCAATGTTAAACATTTAATCTTTTAGAAAATGGCTCTTTTAAAGACAATAAAGTCGCAACATTTTCATATAGTTAACACAATTGGGAATTTCCTCAAACAATTTTTGCCTTAGCTTGTATCTTTTCTATTTGATGTTTTTATTTATTTCAGAAAGAGGAAGGAAGAGGGAGGGAGAAATAGATACATTAATGAGAGGGAAACATCTATTGGCTGCCTTCTGCATGTCCCCTACTGGGGATGGAGCCTGAAACCCAGGCATATGGCTTGACCTGGAACAAACCATGATACACAGGTTGACACTTAACCACTGAGCCATAGCTTGTATCATCTATGTTTAAGCTCTAGAATTGCCATGTTGTCAAAAGGAAAAGTCTAATGGGGCCATTTCTCTCTAATTCCAGGAGAGTCTAAAAGAACAGAGAAAATATGAGTAAAGTCAATTATTTTATTGAGGGTGATAAATTACTCAAATGTTAAATGGCTGTAGGCAATGTAAAGAAACACATTAAAAGTCATGTGTGTTGGTAAAGGAATCAGAGTACTAAAGGCTCTGCCCAACAAATATTCTGAATCCAGCTTTTCTGTATTTCTCCATGCCTCGATTTCTCATGGGTCACTTGCAATTCAAAAGATTCTGGAGACCAAATGAGATAGGATTCTTTTGGTTTTATCAACCAAGAGTCTTCAGATCTTCCCTCAGCCAAGGTATCCAGTGATAATATAATTTATGTTTCAGATTCCTCTGGAGGATTTGATAGTCTCTTTCGCATCGCATTGCCAAGCTCCCTGCTCTTGGTCCTCTTTTCCATGTACTGGAAAATAAAAGGAAGGGGGAGAAAAAAGTAGATTACATTACCATTTATATCAATTAAATAAAATATTTGCAGAATAAAAATGGTTTTGCTAATAAAACTCTTGTCTTTTATTTCCCTGAGATTGAAAACAGTGACTTTAGAGGCTATCTAGTACAAGTTCATTCACTACAGAACAGTATTCACATCCTAACAGATGCTTTAGTCTTTACTGAATTAATTTCCTCTCAAAATATGAATTCAGTAAATATTTAAGACAAGTGGGTTTTGTCCCTATTCTCCAGAAACTCACAATCTAATTTCCAAGCACTGATTGAACACTTCTAGTTATAAGGAGCTCGCTATCTACTTAATTACTGTTCAAGTAACTGTTCCCAAGTTTTTTATGTTGAAACAGTAAATGTTTCCCAGTAAATTATCCCATTATCCTCATTTCTTCTTGCCTGTTACAGTCTTTCAAATAACTGATTACAGATAACCCATTCACAATCTCTTTTGCAGGCTGAATATCACTGGTTTCTACAACTGTTCACAGAACATGGCTTCTGTTTTCTAATATCTTCTCTATAAAGCACCTTTTATGAAGTACTTTAATATCAATACTATTTAAAAAAGGTATCACAATCAGAATTAAATAAAGTGCTCTAGAAGTAGTCTGACAGATGTGAACTACAATAGGCCTACTAGTTATTATGACCTGAACACATTACATTTCTATAAATATTATCAAGGATAACTGACTCACCTGGCCAGCGTGGCTCAGTGGTTGAGTGTCAACCTATGAACCAGGAGGTCACAGTTTAATTCCCAGTCAGGGCATATGCCTGGGTTGTGGATTCAATCCCCAGTAGGGGGCATGCAGGAGGCAGCTGATCAATGATTCTCCCTCATCATTGATGTTTCTATCTTTCTCTCCCTCTCCCTTCATATATATATATATATATATATATATATATATATATATATTTTTTTTTTTTTTTTAAGAGTAACTGGTTCTTAGCAACCATATTATCCTATTGATTCATATAGAAACTTATAGTCAGCTGAACGTCCCAGGATTTTTTCATCATGTACAGTCATGAATCAAATCTCCCCAAATTCTGTTTCTGTAATCAGATGGATCTAAATGCACTTTTAACCTTAAATGTTTTCAATCTAGTATTCTGATCTGGCTAGTAGGTTACAAATAATAGGAAATACAGAGTGTGGCACTTTAAAAAGCATTTATTTAAAGCAGAGAAACTTGAATTTAAGTGTTCTTATATGTATATATGTAGAGGCTTATAATATACTATAGGCTCAGTCCATGAAAATTCATGCACTGAAGGGGGGGGGGGGCGTCTCTCAGCCCAGCCTGCCCCCTTTCACAGTCCTCAGGGGCAGGAGGCAAACCAGTGATCAGGAGAAGGCAATACCCCATCACACCTCTGCTGCTGCCATGTGTGGCAGCGCAAGCCTTGGCCAGCCCTGGTTAACTTTGGGCAACCCTGGGCAGCTGGCAACTGCCATCTGAGGCTTGCCTAGGCCCTGGGTTGGTCCTGGGTGGCTGGAGGGCTATGAGGACTAGGGGACTCTGGAGGCAGGCATTGTGGAGCAGCCGGACCTCCCTGGAGGTAAGCCCAGCCGTGCTGTGTGCCTGCCGCCTTGGCAGGTCTGAGGGGACTGGGTGCCGCCATCTTGTGGCTGAGGGTGCCAACATCTTTGAGGGCATGGCAGTAAATTAGCATAGTCCCTCCTTATTGGCTGTGGGCAAAGCTATCTTTGTGAGTGTGTGACAGTCAATTAGCATATTCCCTCCTTGTTAGATAGGATATACAAATACAGACATATTTTAAAGGTGAATGAATACCTAAGCAGAGGGGAGAAAACTGAGTATATGTGAACTGTTGGACATCAAAATCTTTTAGGAAACAGAAATATAGAAAGAGGTCACAGAAACAAATGATTAGTGACAGAGTTAACCAAGACTTGATTGGTTCCCCTCCCCTGACTCCTGGTGTGACTCGAGTAACCTCAAACACAAGGAGTTGGGTTAGATAACCTTTAAGAAGTTTTCTAAGTCCAAAGTTTTGATTGAAGGGTTCTAACATATCTCCTGGAGTGATAGTTTCAAACTTTTTTTTCTTTCCCATCAAAGGGCCTCTTCAAATTATAGATGAAACACCAGGTCCCTTTAACAAAAACCATTCCTTTTATCTGCCATAGATTAATTTTCCTCTTAAGATTGTTAAGGGAAAGTGTGTTTTATTGCTTTAAAAATTTTAAGGGTCCTGGCTGATGTGGCTCAGTGGTTGGGTGTCGACCTATGAACCAGGAGGTCACAGTTCGATTCCCAGTAGGGGAGCATGCTGGACTTTGGACTTGATCAAAAACATATATAGATATAAAAATACATTTAGGGGAGAAAAAAGCTTCCAGAACATGGACAGATAGATAGATATATGCTCTGAGGCGTCCCTGGTGGTCTAGTGGCTAGGATATATGCTCTGAGAAAAATGCTTGATATTTTTAATCACATGTCTCTAACAATTAGGCTGAGAGAAGGGTCTTAAGAGTAAGTCTTCTAAAGATAATACTTTGTAGCAAACCAATAAAATAAGCATAGAGCAAATTATAATATAGTCTATATTAAAATATATGTTAAGATTATTGCCAAAGGGAGTCAAAATGGTTCTTGAATAAAAAAAGAGAGAAAAGGATGAATATAATGTTATTCACAAAACTCTACTAAATAACACAGATAGAATGGAAGGTCTATTAATCAAAAACCAAACAAAACACAAGTAAAAGGGACAAAAGAGGGCCTTCCTTCACTTTGTGCCACCACCTGGTGGTCAGCACACTCCCAAGGGGACAATTTACAGATTAGCCTTTTATTGTAAGGCTAATGGGGGGCAGGGGATTTCAAAGATATAGAAAATTGGAAGGCAGATTTTTAGTAGTTATAGATTTTTAAAGGTTCTAGACATAAAATATCTGATGTTCAAAACAAAAATAATATTAAATTTATTTTCAAAGATTTAAAATGCACTTTGCTTGGTTAGTAGTGCCTATAAAAATACAATGAATTAGGTATTTTGATTATGTGCCCAAGTTCTAATCTTAGCCTAAAATTGGGTTCAGAAAATTAGTCTTTCCAAATAAGTCAAACTTGATCCCTATGGTTTATATATGCCATAATTATAAAGAAATTCAAAATTTTAAAGCTGTCAAGAGCCTAAGTCCAGCCTCACCATCTTATAAAGGAAACTGAGATCCAGAGAGTTTTAGTTACCTGCTGTAGCCAAATGCTGACTGACATATCTTTTATTAAAAAATTAAATTATAGATTAAATTCCAATGAAGAGAATCCTCTTTTACCACTGCATCTTTTTCTTTCAATTACAGTTTATATTCAATATTATTTTTTTTATTAGTTTCAGGTATATAGCATAGACAATCATATAGCGTACAAAGTCAACTTTCTAAACTTTAAAATTCATCCAGAGGAATTACAAGGATTATAAAAAGAAGGTTGTTTCATTTATATGCATGCCAAACAACAGCAGTATTCTAAAATTGTCCCAGAACAGGCTTCCATTTCTGCCCTAGGTTATAGATATACATATAAAGTCTATTTTACTCTGTTATACTAAAATTGGGGGGGGGGGGGGTAATAACAGCGGTAATATATAATACTGTTTTAAAATGTTTTTTTCTATTGTTAAACCATTTCCATCCTTTTAACACTTTTCTTACCTCATTCTTCAAGCATTTTCTCATCTCCCGATCAAGGTCATTGCAATGACCAAAAAATTTCAGAATGCTGTGCTAAAAGGAAGAAAAGGGTTAAAATATTTCATCCCATAATAGGCTATGTTCTCTGGCACATAGAAATTAAATGCTTATTCTTAGCATTTAATTTCTATGGGTTTAATGTGTCACTTTGCTAATAATCAAATAATTAAATCCCAAGTATAAAATATACAAATAAACAGGTTTATCTTGGGCTTTCTGTAAAAAAGGGATAAATGCTCTATGGTTTGAAACAAAAAACAAACTTTTCCTTGATAAACTGGAAGTCTATTTACTTGCCAAAATCTCATAGTGACAGTGTGTAAACAATTTTATTTCCTAATACCTCCTTCTTTAAAGGCATGTTAAAATCACACATAATCCATTCTCCATTACAGGGAGCAATGTCAAAGAGCAGTGTGGCCATATTAACACAATGAATTTCCTTGTGTGTGACTCGAGTAACCTCAAACATAAGGAGTTGGGTTAGATGACCTTCTAGCAAACATACTGTCATGTAGAAGAGCTACTAAATAAATGCTTGGTGCCAAAGTCATTTCCTCATTTGACTTCATTCAAAATGTTATCAAATCCAAAACACGGAACAGTTATTAGATGGCCTACATGGGTCACATAAATAAGTCACTAATTCACAATACATATAATGAAATCTATGTCTGAAGTTCAGTCTACTTGGTTTGAAAAGCAAAAATAAGTATCTCCTAGTGGGTTCAAGTCCTATAACTATTATCATGGCAAAAAGTATGTTCCAAAGCACATTAAGATGAAGACTGAAGTCAAGAAGCTGAATTTTAGCAAGGCCATATCTAGTGTGCTTACATGTCATAATTTTTAAGGGTAGATTAGAGAGCATGGTGATTTCCTATAATGCCATAAATAATAAGTACATCTTTTCCTTTTCTTTCTAATTAAGACTTTCATGAAAACCAGGCAACTCATAATTAGTAAGCTATGCCTCATGCTATTACTTTTTTTTCCCTAATTCATTACCACTTTAAGTATGCTTTTCTGGTCCACATTGGAAAATGATCAGTTTTTCTGGCAAGCATTTAAGATAGGCTAAGAGCTCCTACTGGCTACCTAATGACCTCTTCAGAATAAATATTTCCTGTGTATTTTTCCTAAATACTTAAATACAAATAAGCAGGGACAATGCAGTTTCACACCCCTCTAGTCAAATAGAAATAACAGAAAGGATTAGACTTTTAGAATGCAAGGCAATATTTCATAGTTCAGCTTCTATTTATTCCATCCCATATACATACATCTTATTTTAAAAATCCAAGAAAAAAAACACTAATTTATATTTTGTTTTTACCTCAATATTGAGCCCAAATAAGAATTATACTCTTGTGACATTATGTGAAAAACCCAAAATGCCCAGTGGAATTGGTAAAAGACATGTCCATGTACAATTGTCTTGTATACACATAGCATTTGCCTAATGTCTATTTCTAAAGAACTAAACCAGTTAAGCAACTGATTGAATAAGTGAATCAATCAATCAGTCAATCAATTTCTGGAAGACAATGTCCCAGGCACTAGAAGGATACAGTAGTAAGCAAGGTGAACCTGGGCCCTACTCTCATTGCACATAGTCAAAGAGAGGAGATAAATAATGAAGTGATTGTTATAAAGCAATGGTTTATAAAGTATAGTCCAGGAATATCCAAGAGTTCCCAAGACCTTTGTAGGAGATGCATAAGGTAAAAACTATTTTCCTAATAATCAAAAATCTTATTTGTTTTGTTCACTTTTATTCTCTAACAAGGGTGCAGTGCAATTTTCCAGAGACTACAAGAAGTGTAACATCATCACCGATTGAATGTAGAAGCAGGTTTAAGAATCCAGCTCTATTCTACTAAGTCAGACATTAAAAAGAATTGTAAAAATGGAAAAGTAATGTCACTTTTTTAAAAATTTCTAAATTAATTTGATATAGTCCATATAAACAAAGTTTTTTGTGGTCCTTTGATAACAAAAGTGTTAAGGGGTCCTGAGAACAAAAAGTGTGAGAAAAACTGCCATAAAGTAGGAAATGTATTATGTATGGTGTTATGGGAGTGCAGCGTGATTATCCCAAGAGAATCTAGGCCAGGAAAGAAAAGGAAGAGGAAATGATAAATTAATCTGAATAAAACCTAGAAGATAATAAGTGTGAAGTGAAAATTTTAAGAAAGGTTCTTAGTCAAGCAAAGGAAAAAGCAAGTGCAAAGGCTTACAAGACAGAAACATGCTCCAGTACAACTACCGAAAGAACACACAGGAATGAGGGGTAGAATAGAGGAACAGGACAGTGGTGAAGCCCACAAGATAAGTAGGGGCCAGTTTCATGAAAATCTTGCAACACAAACTAAGAAAGGAATATTTTATTCTACAGACAAAGGAAGCCTTTAAAGTGGAATAATGATTAAACTTAGATTTGAGAGATCACTCTAGATGCAATGTGGAAAGTGAATTAAGACAGAGAAGAGTACAAAAGAGTTCAGGGACCACTCAGTCTCAGTAAAGACAACTTTGGAATTAACTGGTGTTAAGAATAGATATATACGTATATTTCAGTGGAACAGAACAGAGAGCCCAAGAAATAGACCCACTCACAAATGGTTGGCTGATTTTTACAAAGGCACCAAGAAAATTTAGTGGGGAAATAATAAATAAATAAATAAATAAATAAATAAATAAATAAAGTTGGAATAATAGGGAAAGAAACTGACTCATACTTCACACCATACACAAAAATTAAAACATGATATAAATCAGAAACCTAAATGTGAAACTTTCACACACACACAAAAAAAATAGAAAATCTTTGCAACCAGGAAATTATACAAGACCCATAGAACATAAAAAAATACAAACAAAAGAAAAAACTGGTAAATTAGACTTCATCAAATTTACAAATTTCTCTCAGAAACACACTCTTAAGAAAATATTCACAATACACTTATCAGACAAAAGATAAGTATGCTCAACAACAAAAGTAACTCTGGCAACTCAATAATTAGATAAAGAACTCAATTTTTTAAATACTGGTAAAAGATTTATATAAATGGCTAATAAGCAAAGGAAAAGATACTCAAAATCAACAGCCATTAGGGAAATATAATTTAAAACCAAAAGAAATACTACTACCATGTACCCATACAATAGCTAAAGTTAAGACTTACAATATCAATTATTGATTTAAATGAATGCCAAAAATAATTTGCCTACTATTATCAATAAATTCTTTGAACCATTAAAAATACATGACTTCACAGGTCATGGATTTTACTTACTACCTTATTTTCAGTCTTAAAATTTTGCTCATTTAAATCACTCTTACTATTATAATTTGGTATGTCTATAGTTTAAAAATATCATGAGGAAAATAATGCATCATGCAAAGTTAAAAAATAACACAAATGACCCTTATAACTATCTCATGCATCAGATATATGGAAAAGGCTACATATTCAACATATGTAAAAATATCAACTCAACTTAATGCACTCCAAAAATAGGTTTTCTATTTTGTTTTTAACCATGGAATTTTACTTACATTCCACTAACAAGTAAATTTGTCAAATTAGGCCAATCATAATTTAAATTAATATCTAATTATAAAAATGTTTCAATTTCCTTTAAACACCGAATGATATACATAAAAGAACAGGAAATCTTAGATTAATTCCATTTTAATCAGAAGAATCAGGGCTGAACATAGTGCCCTGTAATTAGGAAAAGTATTTTATTGTAAGAATATGGATTCTAACTAATACATATCATTTCAAAAGATCCCTAACAAACTTTCATCCTTGATTTTTACTAATCACAAAAGAAAGTGTTTTATAAAAAAAAATCATAGCATCAGTTGTCAGTCTTTACTAAGCTAAGACATTACTGTTCCCTTCCATTACTGGATATAACATTTAAATTACATCAGTGTGTTGTACCTAAGCTTCATATGTACTTTAGGGTATTTTTTCTGAACTCTTACATTTTTGTGACATTCCTTAAGTAAGTTAATCAAGGCGTTGCATTCTTCAGTGTGCAAGTGTGGAGATAAGTCAGGATGCATCTTTAGGAGAAGGTGATGGAGGACAGCAGAGCAACCTGTGGATACAAGAGTGTCTTGAATGTCTGTGACTTTATTTGTTAATGTGACCTACAACTATTTTCACATTTTTAGTAAGAACCTTTATCAGAAAAGAATGTTGACCTAAGGCAAATTATTAAACTTGAGCCTCAAGTTCCTTATCCAAAGGTTTAACAGATTCAGTAACTTATCAGGAGAGTTGAGAGAACATGCAGGTTCAGAAAAAAAGCAGGATTCCTCAATAGATCAGATCCTGGAAATAAGCACTCAAGCAGAAACAGCTTGCCTATGTTAATAAACCCCACATTCCAGAACTGATTACAACTCATTCTGTTCAGATGAAATTCTACCAATTAAAAGAACTGGCATATTAATCTTTTTAAAATGTGTATACATCTGAGAGTATTAAAGGGAAAATCAGTCATCTCACATTAGTGTGAATTAATATAGACTGCTTTCTTCCTAACATCTGGCTAGGAAAATCTAACTAAACAATGAAAAGAAACAACAAGCAGATGGGATATAATTTTCTTTAATTTAGCAGATGTACTCATAAAATGCTATTATTACAATGAAAACAAGAAGCTGAAATCTCTGAAATTGGTTTAACTGGTTCATTCACAAAAAAAATTAGCAGCAACAGTCAAAGGAAAAGCATTATATTGAGGTGTACTATAGTTATGTATCATTATATACCTATTGACTTTTTTAAACCAATTCTTTTTAACTCAGGAAAGATTACAGAAAGGAAGAACCAATTAATTGCTTTAATCTTTTAAAAGTTCTAAGAAAGAAAACAAGAGAAAATTATGACCTTAGATTGAGCAAAGAGTTTTTACATACATAAAAAGCACAATCCATAAAAGAAAAAAACTCATCAAAATTAAAAAGTTTCTCAATTCGAAAACACCTTTAAGAAAATGAAAAAGCATGCCACAATTTAGATTCATCAACTGTAATAAACATATTAACTCTGATGGGGGATGTTGATAGTGAGGAAAGTTGTGTGTGGAGGCAAAAAGTATATGGGACCTCTCTACTTTTGCTCTATTTGGCTGCCAGCCTAAAACTGCTCTAAAAAATAAAATCTACTACAAGCCACAGACTAAGAAAAAATATTTGTAAATCATATATGATAAGGAACTTATATCTAGAATAAAATAAAGAACGCTTACACACAATCCAATGTTTTAAATGGGTCCAATAATGGACAAAAGATATGAATAGGTATTTCACTGAAGGTGGTATAGGACTAGTTAGTTAAGCTCATGAAAAGATGCTGAACACCATTTGTCCTTAGGGAAAGGCAAATTAAAACCACAATGAGATATCGCTATATATCTACCAGAATATCTACATCAAAAAGTCAGACAATACAAAGCACTGGTTAGAATGTGGGAAAAATGGATCTCATGCATTGCTCTGGAGAATGTAAAGCAGTACAGATAATTTGGAAGATAATTGGCAGTGTCTTAAGAAGTTAAATGCAAACTAACCACATGACCTGGAAATTACATTCCTAAGAATCTATTCAAAAGAAATTAAAACCCAATGTACAGAGTGGGGCAAAAGTAGGTTTACAGTTGTAAGTAACATGAAACACAGTTTATTCTTATGCTATTTATTAATATACAACTGAAAACCTACTTTCGCCCCACCCTGTATATCCATACAAAGATACGTATGTGCATGTTCACAACATTATTTATAATAGCCAAAACTGGAAACAATCCAAATGTCCAATAACCAAGTAACTGGATAAACAAATGTAGTATATTTACACAATAGAATGCTATTTCTCAATTAAAATAAATTAACTGACACATGTGCCAACGTAGATGAACCTCAAAAGCACTAAGTTAAATGAAAAAAAAGCCAGACTGAAAACACTACACTGTTATGTATAGTATCAGTTATCTGATTTCTGCTTCACTTATTTCTTCTCTCATCGATGTTTCTAACTCTCTATCCCTCTCCCTTTCTCTCTGTAAAAAAAAGTCAATAAAATATAGCTTAAAAAAAAAAAAAAAAGCACTATGTGCTAAGCACAAGTCTAATAATCCACCCAATAACTATAGGAAGTGCCTTTTAAAATTCAGTTGAATCGTAAGTAAATGTCTTTTTGTGGATGAAAATATACATTACCCACATTTCCATGGCAAAACTAAGCCCCAATTACAAAGTAAGTAGCAGTTAATCTCTTATCACAACATATTTTTCCCACATTCAAAATAGAAAAGATATATCTTCCCAGGAATTTGTGAATTAAATAAACTCAGAAAAACTACTATTTCCCATGGCTACAAATTCAACAGGCACTAATTCTGGACCTAATTTCCAAAGAAGTCAATATATTGGTAATATTATCCTGTATTATTAGAAATAGAGGGTCTGTCTACAACAAGAAAAAGAGCAGTACTATACTCATCCTCCACAGCTATGTCCAGAATATTTACAATTTGAATATTCCTGAGGAGGGTGCTCAGGATGGTGATGGTTCTGACACTGGATTTAAACTGAAAACCATGAATGATATTGGCAATATTTACCAATGTAGGGGAGTCCCCTACAGAGGAGACAGACAAAAGGTACAACTTGGTTAAGTTGGACAAACAATGGATTTGATGGGGGGAAATTTTTGAAAACAAAAATTGTGGACTCAGTTATTCACAAGTTATATTACTTTGTCTACTTGATATGAGACCTAAGTCTCTTCTTTCTTAAAAGGGAATCAACTCATAACCTATACCTCCGTGTTGTCAAAAGGTTTAAAATGACATATACGAGACTCTCTGAAACAGTGAACAGTGTGTGTGACATATGTAAAGTATCATTTATTTATCTGAAATGCCCTGTCACATAATAGAAAAGGTTGAACTGAATGTACTTTGAGGTGTTTCCAAGAACAGGACTATAAACCAAAAGGTGGAAATTACAGAGGCAGTCATCTTCATGGAGCTGTCCAACAATGAAGCTCTTGGTTATTAACCAAACATGCCCAAAAGGGACTGGCTACATCAGTTAAGGATGCCATAGAGTATATTCTGGCATTACATTCTTAAGTTTCTTCTCAAATCTAAACTCAAAATTAAATGACTTTACGCCAATTCCAAAAACAAAATTCACACTCACATGACAAACATCTATTACTACTAGGAATACAAAAAACAATTTCAAAAGGGTAGTGTCAAAGTACTTATGAACATCAGCTGCACCACTGGAATAAAGGGGAATGGAATATTCCTTTGTGATAAGCCTTCGTGCATGGATGTTTGCAGTGACCAAGAGGGGGACTTCATTTAAAGAACAAAACCAGTCCCACTGGAATTTAGAGAACATCAGAAAGGTTAAACTTGTCACAGATACAAAACTTCCCTCCCCATGCCAACTCCACCCACTTCCTTAACTTTAAACATTGATACCAAAATAGTCAGCTGAAATTTTTAAAATTGTTCAGCTGTGACAATTTGATGTTTTGATAACTTGCTAGTAGGCATATTAAAAAGCAATTTTAACTTTTATTTAGGTAACCTGGCGGGCAGAAGCAGTAGGGTACTCTCACTGACAATATAAAAATTAGTCACATTATATGTACTCCTTTACCTTATTTTACCAAGACTTTTGAGGTAAAATAATCTTTACGAGTATTCTACGATAGAAGATTTTAACCACTAGATGGCATAATTTCAGGAAATAAACCAAGAGTAAAGCGATACATAACTAATAAAGAAAAGGGAGTACGCCTCCTAATTACACCATTTAGCAGATCCATAATTACAAAGAGTTTGAAAACCCTTTATTTTAATGCCACTTTTGTTTTCTTTGGATTTTGCTATTGTAAAATAAATTTACACTACAGTTGCAACTCCTAATGTCATTTTAAAACAAGCAGAAAGCAGGACCACAAGTCTCTGAAAAATCTGTTCTCCAGAAAAACCTGTAAACCAGTATTTAAAGCTTTCTAAAACGTATTTTTTTAAACCCCACATTTCAGGGGGGGAGGGGGGGGAAACTGGAATCAATTAAATTAGTACTTCCCCAACTGTCATTTTAAATAATTCACCATATTTAGCAGAGGTAGCAGACATAGCAGATAACAGTAGACCACCTACCCTACCTACTTATACCTATCACAGCTGCAAAGTGACCAAATCTAAACAAATGCTACTAAGTGACAGGGATGCCCAAAGTACAGACCGTGCCCCACTGCTCCTGGGCTGCAGGACCCGAACCTCCGAACCTCCTCTCTTAAGGAATGGGTCAAGTTGTAGCTTCCCCTGAACACTTATCAGCACTTCCTAGATGCTGAGCACTCTGCCTTGAATTTTCGGGGAGAAGTGGAGGTATTTAGTCCATACACCTCAAAGAACACACAGGCTAATGAGGGAATATCCTTATACCTGAACATAGTAAATGCTCACTAACTGTCTGCTGAATGCTGAGATTAGGACTATCATAGATTTGAAAACTGGTTCAGACCTCAACCTTTCTTTAAGGATGAAAATAAGCTCATTTAAAATCAACTTAAGCAAGTGCAAAAGCCTTGTACGTATAGGAAAGGAGAGACAAAGGGGGGGTCACAGCAAAATTCCTTTACCAGCACAAACTTCTTTTATCCATTTAAAAACTTAAGTAAAGGTTTCCAGAACTCGGATTTACTTACAGCACCTATTTGTGAAACCACAGGCACGGTCATCTTTAAACCCAAAAAAGGGGATATATAATATTCCTTGAAAAAAAAAATGTACGGATCGGGGGTGTCTTACGGGACTATCCCATCGCAAGAAGGATCCGTGCCAACTTCACTGCAGCTGAGATGCGCCTTCACAGGCTTTTACCTTCTACATGCAAATTCTAAACTACATCATCAATAGCAATGTACGGAGCGCTCACCGTGTCAAACACTGTGCTAAGGACTTCCCTTCTCACAGTCGATGCGATGGGTTTATACCCATTTTTCAGGCGTGGACGCCGAGGCTCAGGGAAGGGAGAAGTCCGCCCTGGGTCAGAAGGCTCCAGAGCGACGGGAGAGGCTGCCGGAGAGGGAAAGCTCGGGGCCATGCCTGCCCTCAGCTACTAGCAGGTCCTCAGCCAGAGCCCGCGGGCGGACAGCTCAGGACTCCCCTGCAGCCGCTCTGACAAAATCCCGGGCGCAAGGTGAGACGGCCGCCCCGAGGAGCCGGCCTTCCGGGTCCCAACCTCCAAAGGCAACAGAAAGTCCCCACGGGACACGCGACACAGAGGGGCGCTCGAGAGCGGGGACAGGTGACTGTCCCGCGGCCTCGCCGGGCGCCGCGGTCGGAGAGAGCGCGCTCCTCCGACTCCCCAAGACTCACCCGCCTCCTCGCGGCCACCCCAGAAGAGCTGCGGCGGAATTCGCCGGCGAACACGCCTCACGCCAAGTCCGGCTGCCAGGGGCCCCGCTAGAGCCGGTTGGCTCTGAGAGGAGAACGCCCCTACTACACCCTCCACAGCTGACCCGCCGGGCCGGCCCCTGCCGCTCGCCACCTCTGAGGCGCATGCGCCGCCCGGCCTGGACGGGCCCATTTTGGGAGGAATTGAAGGGGGAGCCAGCCCACAGAGGCACGGTAAATCCTAACAATCAAGCTGAGCTAACAAGTCAGATGTCGTGGCTGAGCTTAACTTCATTTAAAACAATAGCCTCTGATGAGAAAAATGACGTGAGGGCTCGCTGAGTTTCACTTCTGCCGCTTCCCCCACGCGGGCCCCTCCCCTAGGGCTACTATCCAAATTTGCGCCCCCTCCCGAGGGGCGGGGCTTCAGGGCGGCGGGAACTGCCATTGGTGGCTTTGAAGGCGCAGCGGGCGGGAATAGCTGAAAGAAGTGAGGCGGCTGGCGATGTGGACGGTAAGAGAGCCCCTAACGATATGGAATCGGGCCGCAGAGGATGGGGGAGGCCTGAGAACCCACACCCCAAGCTTTTGAGGCAACTTTTTGTGATTGCCACACGTCCCCAAGGCGAGGGACTGGCGCTTGCTCTCGACTGAAGGCAGAAGGGCTGGAACTACGGTTGGGGCTGGAGAGGGCTATGACGCTTGGTCGTGACCTCACATCCGCCCCGGTGGGGGGCGGGACTTACGAAGGTGTGCGTCATAGCTGAGCCGCTCCGAATGGTCACGTGATGGCCTGCTCGGCTTGCCCATCCTTAGATTGATGTTTTGCCCAGTGTGGGGTGTTTTGATTTTTCGGTCTACCGTGGCTTCCGTCCTCTTTGGTCCATGCAGCCTCCCGCGTTACTTCTTATGCTCCTTGTTCCAACTCTTCAGCGGTGCAGTTCTACAGGAAGATTACTTTAAAGGGCTGTTTTGTTTTGTTTTTTTGTCGTGCGTTCATTCAACAAATATATCTTTGAGCACCTTCTCTAAGCCAGGCACTGAGCTGCATGCTAGGAAGTAAGAAATTAGGTCATCACAGGGAATCAGAGTTTACTCAGGAGTTTTCCAACTTTGTTAGTGAGATTAAGTGCGCTCGTTCTACCAAAATGCTTCAGAATGGCATTCTACAAACTTTTCCCAAAATTTAGAATCTTCTGAAGTACTTGCAGAATCTCAAGCCCTACTTGGTGACAACCCGACCCCCCAGGTTAAAGTGAAAGGGCCCAGGAGTCTGTATTTTAATATGTGCGCTCTCTCTCTCTCTCTCTCTCTCTCTCTCTCTCTCTCTCTCTCTCACCCATTGCTTTTGGTGTTTCATTGACTGTTGGACCCTAGTCCTTCCCAAGTTGTTTTATCTCTTCAGCACACTGCTTGGGGAATGTAGTACTTCATTCCACAAGTATTTGTCATTTAGGGGGTTAGCCATGAATAAGAAACATATAGTTCCTACGCTAGTGGATATCCTACATAATCTTTGTTTAGAAGTCATGTTTTCTTGCCTTTTGTGTTATGTATTTTGAGAGAGAGAGAGAGAAAGATGCCCATTATGATCTCCAACTGAGGTAACAGTAGAAATCAGCTGTCATCCCTGGCCTATAGATTCTACTCTGAAAAAAGAGCTCAGATTTCCCCTTCCGTATGCCATTGTTTTAAGAGAGAGACTGAATAATGTCGGGGAAGATCATTACCCTGTCTGTTGTGGAGGAAGCTACACTCGATTTGGGGCTTGAAAACCTTTTGAGCAGTTGAAGAACCTCATGTTCAGGCAAGAAGCGGGAAAAGTGAGGTAATGGCTCTATGTAATGGGCAGTGCATTAAAGGAGAAAGAGACCTCTTTCCTCTCTGCTTACTGTCTTGCTAGCTCAAAAATCCAGCTGTTTATTCAGTTTCTTCCCTTAGAGTCTAATAATTAACCTTAAAATTTACATATTCTAGACAGAATTCTTGAGCTTTCATTTTCTCCTCTGCCTCTGCGAGTCTTCCCCATCTCAGGTAATAGCTTTTCTATTCTTTCAGTTACCTTGGTATCCCCTACACCTTACATCTTACCCATAGGACTCTCTCTTAAAAGTGTATCCAGCCCTGACTGGTTTGGCTCAGTGGATAGAGGGTTGGACCATGGGCTGAAAGGTCCCGAGTTCGATTCTGGCCAAGGGCCTGTACCTTGGTTGCAGGCTCGATCCCCAGCGGGAGGCGTGCAGGAGGCAGCCGATTGATGTTTCTCTCTCATTGATGTTTCTCTCTCTCTCTCTCTCTCTCTCTCTCTCTCTCTCTCTCTCTCTCCCTTCCTCTCTGAAAAAAAAAAAATCAATAAAATATATTTTTTAAAAAGGTATATCCAGAATTTGACCTTGTCTCACCACTTCTTTGGTCCACCATCATCTGTAACCTACATTATTGAGGTAGCTTCCTAGCTGGCCTCCTGCTTCCTCTCTCCTAGATTGCATTCTCAGTACAGTAGCCAGTGTTGGGTGTTTTGATTTTTCGGTCTACAGATTGATCTAGTAGAAAAACTAAGAGAGAGCATATTCTGCCTCTTCTCAAAACCTTCAGCAGCTGGTTTCTGACAGTAAAGGCCATGATCTCTGACTTCACCTCCTCCTCTGTGCGCCTCTCTCTGTCCTCCCTCTGTCCTCCCTGGAGGCCTCTTTTTCCTTGAAGGCCCCAATGCTGTTCCCTCTGCCTGGAAAGCTCTTCCAATAACTGGCCACATGGCTCACTTTCCTCCAAGGATTAGTTCAAATGTCACCCTCTTGTGGAACCTACTCTGTCAACCCCCACCTCCACCTCACTCCCAGCCTGCTCCATTTTCACTAGTACAGGTTTCCTAACACTACTCCATTTGCTCTGAAGCATTTACCACCTTTTTTTTTTTTATCCTCACCCAAGGACATGCTTAGAGAGAGGAAGGGGGAAAGAGAGAAAGAGAGAGTGAGAGAGAGAAACATGGATTAGTTGCCCCAACCAGGGATTGAACCAAAACCCAGGTAAATGCCTTGATTGGGAACCCAACTGGCAACCTTTTGGTGCAAAGGACGAAGCTCAACCAACTGAACCACCCTGGTTGGGCAGTGCTTACGTACTACTTCTAACACATTTTGTGATTTTCCTGTTGCCTGGCTCTTCCAAGTAGAAACAACACTCCACACTGGCAGAATTTGTGTCTTTTTGGTTAAGATGTATTTATGCTTAGTGCCTAGAAAAGTGTCTAGCATGCATAAGTGCTCCTTCATTTGTTACATGAATTAGTAAACGAATGAATGATTTCCATATTATTGCCATCAAAAGTTCACAAAATTCTCTAGCCAAGAAAGGAGAGAGAACACTAATTTTTTAAAACTCTAAAACACTTTTAAATATACAGCTTAAGGAGAAAGTTATTAAGTCCTCTTGTGAAAACACTTTGCAAATTGCCTGAGAAACAGTAAATTAAACATTTGGGTCTTTGACCTACAAATCAAAGTCTCAGGCTAAAAATATGATGTTTAAAAAAAATTAACTATTAAGTTAAGCTTGTGCTGTTTTTGTTTTATTAAAGTGCCAAAGAAATGGATGAAATAGTTGCCGAGTTTGTCAAAAGGACCATCTTGAAAATCCCGATGGCTGAAATGACAACAATCCTGAAAGCCTGGGACTTTTTGTCTGAAAATCAACTGCAGACTATAAACTTCCGGAAGAGAAAGGAATCTCTTGTTCATGACTTGGTTATGCTTTGTGAGGTAACAATGTTCAAAATGATTAACCTTGAACTTTATGCTTTGTTTTTTTCTTTGTTCCCTTTGTCCAAAAAAGATTGAAAGCAGTTGCTAAGCTGTGAAGTGAGGAGGTTATGTTCTTCTCTGCCCCCGTATCTTCTATAGTGGAGACTACTATAGCAGAGAAGATACTAATTTTTAACTGGCTTTTCAACCTACAAATCACTAAGAAAAAAGTGAATTCCATGAGAGAAACAAACCAGACAATCAATACAAGTAATGAGCAGTATTCTTTTTATACCTATCAGATTGTCAAAAATGAAAAGATAATAATACTCAGATGTGCTGGTCAAGTTATGTAGAAAGAGACACTCTTTCACATGTATTTATTTATTTGCTTTTTGCTTTAAAAAGATTCCAGACTTTCAGAAAATTTGCTAGTACAAAGAATTCCCATATTTCAGTAAACCCTTCCCTTAGTCAATTTTAAATAAATATACTTTATCACCCAGCAGTTCCATTTCTGGAAATTAATGTGGGTAAAGTCATAAAAAAATAAAGAAATATATATAAATATAATTGATAAACATATGTATGTAGTTATAAATATGTAAATATATATAAATAAACGTTAACTAGCATTGTTTATAAAAACAAAAAATTTCAAGCAAACAACTATACATAGAAGATGATTATACTCCACATAAAATATTATTCAGTCATTAGAAAAAATAAATTAGAAGTTTGTATGCACATTGAAAGAAACTATATGCTATGCACACATATAAATGTATAATGTATAGAATAGTGGTTCTCAGCTGGGATGAATTTTGTCTTCTGGAGGGTACAATGTCTGGAGAAATTTTTGATTGTCAAAACTATAGGAGTGGGGTGCTATTGGATTCCAGTGGTTAGAGACCAGGGCACTTCTTAATGTCTTACAACAGCTCTCCACAACATAGGATTATCTGACAGAAAACGTCTGTAGTGTCTAGTTAAGAAACGCTATTGTAGAGGAAGTTGAGAAAAACAAAAATTAAAAGTGATGAATGAAGAGTAGATTGTGGGAAAACAGGTGTGAGTACCTATACTAAACATGAGTCAGAAGGTGTATTTGTTACTTAACAGGAGAGTGTAGATTGGAGACAAGCTGTGAGTAAAGTATTGAGAGGGTGCTTATAGTCTGTCCTAAGCAATTCTAAACTGAGCTGTGATTCTAGGGTAGAATCAAACCGATAGCCATGTTTACTGAATATTTTACCTTTTCTTTCAGGAGAAGCATGCGAGTGTCAATGATGCTGCCCTTTTAGACATTATTTGTAAGTTCTAGTAATTTGTATTTATAGTGAACCAATACAGTTTCATCAGAGAGTCAATATTGTGTAGATAAGGCTCAAGTTGACCTGGTGTGTAAAATCCCAGCTCTATCGCTTACCACTCCTGTGTCCTTTGCCAAGTCACATTGCCTTTCTGGGCCCCAGACTTCTACTAGTAAATAGAAATAATAATAGCACCTAGTAATATAATAACATTATAATAATATAGCACAGAATCACTGTAAAGGTTAAATGAAAGGTTCTTAGCACAATGACTGGCATATATAAGTACATATTAATAGAATTGAAAATATATTACTGAAAATTTGTTCTTATTATAGTAATTACATCTTGTAAGGGATGTAAGGATTAAAACTGACTGGACTTTGGCTGAAACCGGTTTGGCTCAGTGGATAGAACGTCAGCTTGCGGACTGAAAGGTCCCAGGTTCGATTGTGGTCAAGGGCATGTACCTTGGTTGCGGGCACATCCCTGGTGGGAGGTGTGCAAAAGGCAGCTGATCGATGATTCTCTCTCATCGATGTTTCTAACTCTCTGTCCCTCTCTTTCTCTCTGTTAAAAAATCAATAAAATATATTTTAAATAAATAAATAAATCAAACTGACTGGACTTTGAACGTGGTGTGGTCTAGGGCAGCGGTCGCCAACCTTTCAGACCTCAGGGACCACCAGTGATCCATAGACCACCGGTTGGTGACCACTGGTCTAGGGGGACTGGTGGGAGAAGCACACATGGCTCCAGGGATCTATAGGTGCAACTAGAAGGACAGTAGAGCCCCTTGTTAAGTAAGATGGGAACACTAGATGGGGAGCGAGTGTGTCACAGAGATCATGGGGTAGCCTGGGATGTGTTCTATTTGAGGAAATGTCTTCATGTGTTTTAAGTCCTTGCCACTTACCATGAAATTTTGCATGATATTTAATGGAATTATTACAATAAAAATTTTAATTTCTATTATTATAACAGCCTTATTCAGAGATAAGTTAGCAGGCTATCTTAACTCTGAAATACAGAACCACAAAGAAAATACCAGAAAGGAACTAAAACACTTCAGATGCTGTCTTTTGGGCAGGCATTACATTGTGCCAGATTACACCTGTTTTAGACCAAGCTTAGGGAATCAAGAATTGTCAGGCCATTGCTATAAATGGGGTGAGAGAGAGATCTGGGGACACCAGGCCCCAAATATAAAACAAACAAAAAAAACAACCACTAAACTGTAGGAAGGACAGAAAGTACAAAAAGCACAATATAGGTTGGTGCCCTTGTGTGTTGGGGTCATCAGCCCCTTTTTATGGGGTGCAGAGTACCTTGATCTTAGGTGCAAAGACACAGGGATGCAGATGGAGGTCAGAACAGGGACAGAGTAAAGGCGGGATGACAATGAGGTGGGACTGATTTTAATAACTTCCTAGGTCCATTTTTACTCCAAGACACTCCTAAGTTTTTAATGTCTTCTATATCAAACATTCATTCATTCATCAGATATAATGTGGAGTGCCAGCCAGTGTCTAGATACTGAATATAACAGTGCATAAGACAAAGTCCTGTATTCCACAGGATTCTAGTTGGGGACACAAGCACTATACAAATGACCATCTAAATATATGATGTGATGTAGGATAATGATAAATAAATACATGTGATTTGTAAACTAAAGCAGGGTGGGTTGGGTGGTCAGTTTGGATACGGTGATCAGGGTAGGCCACTGCCTAGGTGGCATTTTATTAGAGACTAGATGAAGTACAGGAGTGAAGTGTGCAAGAAGCTAGAAGAATGCTACAGACAAAGGAACAGCCAGCTAGTACACACACCAGTTATGGGAGCACACCATCCCTGGCATGCTCAATAAATGCTGCATTCTGTGTGGAAATAGAATAAATGATCTGACTTAAGAGTAAATGCTAAAGCTCTACTAGATTGAGTATTTCTTTATGATGTGTTTTATTTGTCTGGAGTTAATTTCATTCATGTAAAATTTATGTTTGAATAAAAATGTATAACTGAATTGATAAATTACTATTTTCTCCACTTTCATGTTATTTAACATATGTATTCATAAGCACAGTACATAAAAGTTCTATGATATAATACCAATAATTTCTTCCTTTCTCTCTCAGATACTCAATTTCATCAGCACCAGAAAATTTGGGATGTTTTTCAGATGACTAAAGAACCAGGTAACATTTTCTCTTTTAAAGTAAACATTTAGCAGGCCAGAGGAGTTCATTGAGGGAAAAGGGGGACATATTTAATACTTTCAACAATGAAGATTTTTAAAAATAACTTATCTAAAAAATAACAATAAAAAGTGAACATTTACATTTGATATTTTGGCTATTTAAAAATGAATAGCAGTATGTTCCTCTTAAATCACTTTTTTTTTCCAAAATAAGGTGATTATTACTCATTTATGGGAAAATGCAAAATATATTTCGCATTGCTGTGTCAGAGTATCAGCAGCATCTCTGTGATTTGAATATTATTGCTCTTTGAGATTATACAAATGCTTTGCCTCGGGGTCTTTGAAATATATTTATTGAAGACATTGTAGTTCCCTTAATTTTTCTTGATTTTTCTTTTCACTTTGACAGGTGAAGATATTGACCTTTTTGATATGAAACAATTCAAAAGTTCATTTAAGAAAATTCTTCAGAGAGCCTTAAAAAATGTAAGATTAAAATCTTTCTGAACTTCAGTGAAATTTAATTCCATGCATTTGTGCTACTACCTTTTTTTATTTGTAAAAATTTCAATTAAGAATATTCCATACTATTCTAGTCCATAACAAAAAGAACTTATTCCATACTAATCTAGTTCATAATAAAAAAGAACTTTTTAATTATGCAAACTTTCCTTTCCGCTCACCTCTCTCTTTAAAAACAATTTTTTAATTGATTTTAGAGAGAGGACTGAAGATGGAGAGTGATATAGAAATATCAATGATGAAAGAGAATTATTGATTGGCTGCCTCCTGCATGCCTCACACTGGGGATCAGCCCACAACCCAGACATGTGCTCTGACCCAGAATTGAACCATGACCACCTGGTTCATAGGTTGATGCTCAACTGCTGAACCACATGGGCTGGGTTCCCCTCGCCTCTCACTTCAAGGGCAAGTGCTTCTTTCTCAGTAGCAGCCCCATCCAATAGAACTCTGCAATGATGGGAATGTTGTATATCGTCACTGTCTACGATAATACACAAACCAATAGCCACAAGTGGCTACTGAGCACTGATATGTGGCTGGTGTGACTGAGTATCTAAAATGTTGACCTTATTTAAACTTCATAAAATTTTACTTAAATAGCCATGGGTGCCTAGTGGCTCCTGTAGTGGCTCCTGTAATGGTCAATAGCACCCACAGAATCTTCCTGCCATTCCATTTCCACAAGCACCACCCATTGTGATAGGTTTGGGCAATCTCTCCTTCATTCTCTTTCCACGTTATTCTGTCTTCGTCTCCCTTACATATAAAAACATGCCAAAAAATCACATTTGCCATGCTTGGGCTGTCCTACTTAGAGTAGTAGTGTTCCCTCTTTTTTCATACACAATTCTTTGATCTTTCCATCTCTTTTCCTCATCCTTTGTAACTTGTCATTCTTTCTACGTATCCACTTGTCAGTAAACATATTTTCTCCTTTCTTATAATGACCCTTCTTCGTGTGCTTTGAACCCATCTCCTACATCCTCATGGGGCCTACATCATGGTTTCTCTCTATTCTTTCACATTCTCAACCCCTTCAGCTGATGCCTACTCTAATGCTTATAAACATGCCCAAGTCCTCGTAAAAGTACATCTATTCTCCATGCTCATCCTTAATCATAAAACTCTTGGAAGGAAATATTTCTTGTCCCTTATGTAGGAGTCCCTTCATCACTATCCCTTCATGCTTCTCCAACAAAGCACTGACTTAACCTGAGTGAGAGAGCAGCCTGCAGGGGCACCAGTTCTGGTCTGTGGCTCCAGGGCCCAGCTCTGCCTCCGCAAGGGAGGCCACCCGGAGTGATTCTGCCAGCAGCCACATGGGTTTTATTGTCCAGAGGGCCACTTGTCTGCAGATATGAGCCAGTCATATGAGTTTCTTGGTAATATGAGTTATATGCTGGCCTCCACCTGCCAACTCTTTTGCCTTATTTCTTAGTTGTTCCAGAAGGATATTGCTCCCCTTCAAAGACCTCCCCAAAAAGTTGAACGGGTAATCCATCCTCACTGGCTTCATGATTAAGCCCCTTGCTCTCTGGCTACTGCCCTCAATGCCAGTTTAAAACTGAGTCATTTTGTTTTATTTTTGTTTTCAGAGTGCATTAAAGCTTGGGACAGTGAACCAAGGAAGGGCTTCGAATAGAAGCAGCAGCAGGAGAGCCTAGACAGGCTGCTTTGGCTCACTGAAAAGTCAGAGAAAAAGGGGCCTTGGTTAGCCCAGGATGGGCTGCACTGCCCATTGCTCCCTTTGTTACAAGTCTCACAGGGTCCTTTAGAGTTTAAGAGCTGCATGCCTAAGAGGGAAGAAAAGTGGAGGTGTGCTCCCGGCAAGGAAAGTGCTGGGACTGAGGTTTTTTGTTTTGTTTTTTTTTTAATATTTTTTATTGATTTTGTACAGAGAGGAAGGGAGAGAGATAGAGAGTTAGAAACATCGATGAGAGAGAGTCATCGATCAGCTGCCTCTTGCACACCCCCTACTGGGGATATGCCCGCAACCAAGGTACATGCCCTTGACCGGAATCGAACCTGGGACCTTTCAGTCCCCAAGCCGACGCTCTATCCATTGAGCCAAACCAGTTTTGGCTGGAACTGACTGAGTTTTGAAGGGCAGTGGTTCTCACAGTGTGATCCCAGACCAGCAGAATCAACTTTGCCTGGGAATGTGTTAGACATGCAGCTACTTGGGCTCCATCCCAGACCTACAGACTCAGACACTGTGCAGGTGAGCCCAAGCCCTCTAGGCGATGCTGATGCCCGATGAAGTTTGAGACCCTCCCTGTTGAAGGATACCAGTGATATTTATAACAAAATTCTGCAGCCTAATTGAACAGTCATACTGATTGCAAATACCTATGTGTGCTGGGCTCCATTCTAAGCTCTTCCCAATTACTAAGTCATTGCATCCACCTGGGTGGGTTATGCAGCTGGAAATTGTAGAGCCAGGGTTTAAACCTGGGTGGGTAGCTTCCAAGCCAACCTCTTCATATCTACACTGGCAGGCTTTCTCAGCTTACTCTTTGCCAAGGCCCAGATGTTGGGGCTAAAAAGATGCACAACATCTGTTTCTTATGCTCAAGGTCACACTCAGCCAATTGAACCCTCTTGTTCTTGAACATCTGTCTTCTCCCGGTAGACTTCCACTCATCCTAAACTCATGTGCCATCTTCATGATTCCTTTCCTTTACTTCTGCCCTTCAGTAGAGCACCCCGCGAGGTTTTTCATTCAGCCCTCCAACAGTGGAGGGAGTTTTGAAATTTGGGATTTCAAATACACTACAGGAATTTTCTTTAGTGGGAGAAAGGAGGGAGGTAGGAATAGAGTCGTTCATCATTTCCCTTTCAGAATCTAATGATTTTTCCCAACACTATTTGTTGACTAATTCAGCTTTTCCCACTGGTTTGTCATCATTGGAATCTTCAGATTCATTCATACTTTTACAGTCTGTATTCTGCTCCTTGATCTGATTCTCCTCATGCTCTCCTGGATCCACTGCCTGCCTCCACAGGTGTCATCACCTGTACTCGACATTCCAGCCACACTGAACTAATCTTCTATGAGTTCTTGGATTTACCATAGGATGTTCCGTCTCCTTGGAACAACCTCCACCACCTGGCTTTTGCACAGCTTGTTCCTCCCTGTCCCTCTGACCTCCATTTAAATGGTGCTTTCCTGCCTGGACAGGTTGCTCCCCTGACCTGTGCTACTGTCACCATAATCTAACCATTTTCTGGCTTAACTGTTAGTTTTCCTCCCAACCTGTAGGCTCCCTGGGAGAAGAACTCTGATCATCCTGCTCCTCACTGATAAGAACAGCTGGATACTGGGGGAGCCCTGGCCAGTGTTGTTCAGTGGATAGAGCCCACATACCAAAGGGTTGATGGTTTAATTCCCAGTCAAGGGCATGTACTGGGTTGCATGTTCCATCCCCGGCCCTGGTTGAGTGAATGCAGGAGGCAACCAATTGATGTGTCTCTTTCACATTGAAGTTTCTCTCTCCCCTTTCCTATCCACTCTCACTTAAAAGAAATTTTTTTTTAAATATCCTTGGATGAGGATTAACAAATGCTAGGGAATAAATAAATTGGGCATGTTCTGTGCAAACTCCCCCATTCCTTTTATTGATATAGTTTTTTAAATATTGTAATAACTATTAAGGCAAGTCCACCTTGGCCCATCCCCAATAACTTGACCATTCTTCAAGATGAACCTTGATATCATAAAATCAGATTTATAAAACAAACAAAATCTTCAGCATTTTGAGTGGGGGAGGGGTCATCCATTTAATTTATAAATTAATTCAAGGATAATTGTGAGACAAGAGAAGTTTGTCTCCTTTTCCCCCCTCTTTTATGAATAAGTACTATTTTCTACCTTGTCCATAAGTTGTTATTTTTTACTAAATTATTTGAAAAATATTCTTTTTATTTTTTTTTTAAATACTCTTACCATGAAATTATAAAGTTTTCAGAGGTGAAAGGAGAGTCCTATCTGGGTGTGGCCCACACAGCCTTGTTTTCTTTACAAAGACTTACTGGCAGAGTCCCCGGCCAGCTCTCCATAAATATTGTGGATTTATGGTTAGGACCCTCCTGGAACCAGCCTTTTTGTTAAGCTGAACATGACTGGCTAACTTGTTTTTAAGAACCACTCTTGGCAGCATTCCCACACTACTTCACCCAAAACAAGAAACAGCCCAAGGGGCTTTTCTCTTGGCGCCAGTTCAGAATTTATCTGCTTCCTTTACAGTAGCCTCTCCTCATTCACCTGCCTAAATTAGACATACCTATTTTAGGCACCAGGAACTTCTGTTCTCTGAACCCCATGCCTCCTGCCCCCACCATTCCAGGAGAAAAGAGTCAAAAACGCTCATATTTCCTCCTACTTTAATGCCCACGTATTCCAGTTGTTAGAGTTCTTCTCTTTTGATCACTGCCATATTCCAAAAGCTTTTACCTCCTGAATGAACCTCAGGTACACTAGCAGGAGAGGCTAAGGGGAACAAAGGAGCTTTATTATGAGACATATCTGTACTATTTGAAAGGTCAGCTGGAGACTGATGTGCTGTGTACATGACGTTTTAGAAGAGAGGGGTGTACAAATAAAGCTCCTGTGTCACCTTATCCATTGTTCCCCTGAGCTGGGTGACACTTCCTAACCACTTTTCTCAACTGACGAAGACTTCCAGCTGGTCTTCACTCTCTTCCTCATAACTTAGCCAGCGTATGGATAACCCCACTTTCCCAAAGGCTGATGATGGTGGTAATGTCATGCCAAGGAGCATCTCTTGGTACTCAGGACTGAGGAGTGACTCACTTGCTGCTCTAGGACAGGTATCTTAACTCTTATTGTGCCAAGGACCCCCTTTGGCTATAGACCACTTATCAGAAATGTTTTTAAAATGCTATAAAATAAAATACATAGAATTACAAGGGAAGCCATTTATATTAACATACAGTTATTATGGTATTAAAATACTAAATTGTGATATAGTACTGTATGTGTTTCTTTATTAACACAAATAGTCTTATGGTGGGTCTACAAACAACTAGTTTCAAAGTAGTAATGGGTGTAAATGATATTTTTGAGGCATCTATAATAATGGTAATGTGATTAAAAAAATGGAATTTCTGTGAACAACAAAGTAACTGGTTCTAAAGTTCTAGTGTTTTGTTGCCTGCTTTCACAATTGAAGATGATAATTTTCAATTGAAATTAGTGCAAATAAAGATATAATCTCCACCACCACCACCAAGTTCATAAATTCCCTGAATTCTAACTATGGACTTCAGGTTAAGAATTCCTGTCCTTGAATCAATTGGGTAGAAAAGCTGGTGTGAGAAGGCACAGGAACGTGGGGAGTGATGGACTGAGCCTGTGGTTTAGGGATTCAATCCAGACCCAGAGAGAGAGAGAGAGAGAGAGAGAGAGAGAGAGAGAGAGGGGGGGGGGGGGGGAGGAAACTATTCAAAAATATAAACTTCTTGAAAAACTTACAAAAAAGATACAAACAAAAGAAATGTTTCTGTTATAAATATGTTTTCTTTCTTTATGCTTCTATATCATGTATAATTGTTAATATGTAGGAATTCTGTGTTGTATATTAAAGTTTATTATAATACTAGAGGCCCAGCACCCTCTCGCAGTCTAGGACCCCTCAGGGGATGTCTGACTGCCAGCTTAGGCCCAGTCCTTGATCGGCTCCCGCAGTCCAGGACCCCTTGCTCCTTACCACTTACCTGCTTGGAGGCAGGAGAAGCTCCTTCCACCACTGCTGCGCTCACCAGCTGTGAGCTCGGCTTCTGGCTGAACAGCACAGGAGACGCCCTCTGGTGGTTAGTGCATTCCCACAGGGGGAGCGCCTCTCAGCCAGAAGCTGGGCTCACTGCTCTTTAGCATTGCCTCAGAGGCAGGAGAGGCTCCCGCCATCGCTGTGATCACAAACTATGAACCTGGCTTCTGGCTGAGCAGGGCTCCAGCTGGGGGAGCTCACTGACCACTTAGGGGCAGCTCCTGCATTAAGTGTCTGCCCCCTGGTGGTCATAGTGACCATTTGTTCTGCTGTTCAGTCAATTTGCATATTAGGGTTTTATTATGTAGCACTAGAGGCCCCGTGCATGAAATCGTGCATGGACGGTGTCCCTCAGCCCAGCCTGCACCCTCTGCAATCTGGGACATCCCTCTCACAATCTGGGACCGCTGGTTCCTAGCTGCTTCCTCACCTGCCTGCCTGCCTGATTATCCCTAACCATCTCTACCTGCTGACCTGATCACTGCCTAACTACCTTCCTTTGCCAGCCTCATCACCCACTACTACCCTACCCTGCTGGCCTGATCTCCCCCTAACTGCCCTCCCCTGCCAGCCTCATCACCCCCTAACTGCCCCTCCCCTGCCATCCTGATCACCCCCTGCTTGCTCCCCTATGCCGGCCTCATCGCCCCTAACCACCCGCCAACGTGGCTTTGTCCAGAAGGAAGTTGGACATCCAGAAGATGTCTGGTCGACCTGGTCTAATTGGCATATTACCCTTTTATTAGTATAGATTTGTTCAGTAGCTTGCAGGTGGTAGTCAGTAACTGACAGTTTAGATGGTACATTCTCAGGTTAGCCAAACCACTTAGGAACCTTGGTGGGATTAGTAACCTAGTTAAACTTGAGCATTATTAATCTGAGCTATCATTTGTGAAAAATGCTTTATCCTGGCTATAACAGGATGATAGCTATTGAGATATTTCCTTTGTAAAATAATATAGGTGTATATTTGGGCCCCACCTCTTCAGGTATCTGAGGATCTTGCTATAAGAATGTGAGATGGAACACCTGGAGGCCAGCTGTTCAGAATTATACTGATTCTGAGGGCATCTTTTTTTTTTTTTTCAGCCCATTGATTTTTTTTTTAAAAAACCTTTTTTGGATCGTATATAGACCTTTCTGAAAATTTTAATACATGATACAGCATGTCTCTCCAGAAAACATACACTTAGATTAAGATGTCCAGACATCCTGCTTTTGGCAGGACAGTCCCGATTTTTAACAATTTGTCCAGCGTCCCGAGACGTTTTAAAACAGTCCCGATTTTTGGAAAGAATCTTTTGGAAAGAATCTTTCCAAAAAAGTAGGAGAAAAGACTGTGGAAGATTACAGTGACATCCTTCACCTCTAGATGCTACAAGATTTTACTTAGGAAACTTAAATTTTCTCTTTTAATAAGGTATCAGTCACCTTCAGGGATACTGAGGAGAATGCAGTATGGATTCGAATTGCCTGGGGAACACAGTATAAAAAGCCAAACCAATACAAACCTACTTACGTGGTGTACTATTCCCAGACTCCGTATGTCTTCATATCTTCTTCCAGGCTGAGGAGCAGCATTCCCCTTCTGGGTCAGGTATGGAACCAGTTACTACAGTATAACATTGTATTATCCTATTTCAGAGGTCTATGTAGGATTAAGCCCTATATGTAAAATGCCACATGTAATTCTTGATTTCCTAAAATGAGGAAGTGTGGTTCTTCTGCATATGAGAAAATGGTATAAGCATTGGTTCGGAACTCATTGTTGTCTTTTAATCTAAAAGTAATGCATATTTAATGTTAAAAATTCAATCAACACAGAGGTCTTTAAAGATCAACCCTTAGTCTTTTAAAACTTCATATCCTTTTTCCCAATCCTATTTACCAAAATTATTACTGTTAACAGTTTTGTTATTTCCTTTCAGATGTTTCATTATAAAAACCAGAGTAGCATAGCATCTGTCATTTGCTTTTTTAACATTTCCATGTGTTTCCATATGATACACCTCACAACTTTCTTGTGACTGCATCATTTACCTATTAATGAACATCATTTTCATTTGTAATCATTTTTCTTACATTCTGTGCACAAGAAGGAGCCTCTCCTCACAACCTGCTTCTTGGTATAGCTCTGGTTTCCTAGCATCTTTCCCCTGAATAAGCCATTCCTACACAGGCTGGCAACTGCCGCTGTTTTCACTATATTAATATTCATATTCACAGTGGCACCTACGTTGGTGCCAGAGCTACCATTTAAGCTGATTGTAGGTGAGCAGCTCCACCATCCAGACTCCATCAACCTTAGTAGAGTGAGCACTCCACAGTATGGAACTAAGAGCTACAGGATCCTAGTGGGCAGACTTGCTTGTCATTTAAATTCCTTGGCTGTTTACTGAAATGGCAGAAGGATTTCTACTGCTGCATGCTTCTACTTTCCTTTAACACAACTCTGCTTCTTTATGTGTGAATCTTTTCCTCCTTAATATATAGCGGTGGTTCACCCACTTTCAGCCAGGCTAGTCCACCCTGGCACAGCTAGTTTAAACACTGTCCCCCAAGCTAATGTTTTTCTCCATTGTGAATCTTAAGACAAACTTATCTCTAGTTCCAGGTAAATATTTTATTAATCCTGTTTCTGACTTCTAACTTGTTTTTCCAGATAATGGGAAGTTTTTATAAATTGCACTTAATGTATTCTTTTTTCTTCAGTATTTGTCCTAAAGCGTACATATTTGCATTTTAGTGTGGCAGTATCATTGTGATATTAGATGATTGGTATTCTAAAATGGTAACACTTGAGTATTCATGTTTATTCCTGTCTGAACTTAATTTATCAATATTATAAGTCCTAACTATAAATAAGAACACAGTTCTAAAAATGCTACAAAAGATTTTGCATTTTGAGAATTTTAATGCCATTAGCCTTTTTTTTTTTCTTTTTTTCTTTTTTTTTTTTGTCTTTTAAAAAAGCTGAGTAACAGGACATGAGATTATATTTTTCTGGGTTTCTTTTCACTCTAAAGTAGAAAGTATTCACTTATTGCCACTCTTAATTTTACTTTGACATGTATTGTAAATACAGGAATAGACACAGTAATACTAATATTTTTCTCATTTTCACTTTAAGGCACTGACAGTTGCTAGCAAACACCATCGGATTGTGAAAATGGACTTCAGAAGCCGATATCTGGACTCTCTTAAGGCTATTGTGTTTAAACAGTATAATCAGGTGAGCCCATCAATGACTGTTTAAAGTTAAGTCTCCGTTTTCTCTTTACAAGCCACTGAGCAGGTGGAAAGTTCACCTGCAACAAAAGGAGATCCCTTCAGGTATTACTGAAGCCAAGAAAACTTTCAGTTAGTTTACAATAAAGGAAACAAAATAATGAAATGCCTCACTATCACCTTTTTATAATCATATTTTATGTTTTATACTGCTCATTAGTTATTGGAATCTGTTAGATCCCAATTTCCAGATCAGCTATTCTAATTAGAGTTTTTCTCTTTAGAATAACTTAATGCCTGTTTAAGCTAATTACAAAAAAAGTAATTCTACTACTCTCTTCCATTATGCAAAAGAGAAGTAGAATTAATTTTTTGTCCCATCACTCCAGTAGGTGATACAGGGGTTAGAAGTAAAGGAAAAAGCATTGGTTTATTAATTCCCACAATGTATTTATTTGTTAAAATTATTTAAATGCATCATTCCCTTTTAATTATAAGAATGGATCTGGCCGTAGTCACATGTTCAGTGTCATTTGCTCCTGTGCATGGTATCTGTGTGCTCATCTGTTCAGACTCCTGTAGGTGGGACATTAATGCCCTATGTATATTTTTGAGCTCTTGATATATTACACAGGGTGGGACAAAAGTAGGTTTACAGTTGTTAACATGGAAAATAATACAATAATTAATAAATAACACAAGACTAAACTCTTGTGTTTTAATACAATTGTAAACCTATTTTTGCCCTACCCTATACTTATATATTCTACATAGTAAGGAGTGATGGCTCTGCAAGCCCTCTAAGGAAAACAAATTTAGCACAAAGAAGCTAGATAATGATTTTTCTCCCATAGCAGCCTCCTCCCCTCTTAGCAGCCACATTCCCATCAAATTGCTATCAACTGTTCTGCTCTGACAGTTGCATTCTAAGGAAAATACACGTTGTCAAATACTTAATTATAAAAACAGTGGCTTTAGTGGGGGAAGGTCAGAGAAGGGATTTGAGAAATTCAGACTTTTAGTAGGAAAAGTATTTTTATAAAAAAAACTCTCAGTGAGTTTCTTGTGGTTATAAAGACATAGCTTTATAATTAAATCTAAAACTTCACATTGCAAATTCTGCCCTGATTTCTCTAGCTTTTGTACTCATCACCTATTTCTTCCAGGTCCATTTTTATGATAACAAAGTATAGACAGAGCTCCTCAGGCAAAACAACTATGATGCTGACCCTAGATGTCTCTGTCAATATCCTGCTCTAGGAGAAATGCTCCACTCAGCCTGGATATGGCCTTAAATCTCTTCTTGTTTGAAAAAATAAATATAAAATTTGAGCCCTGGCTGGTGTGGCTCATTGGTCATTGGCCCAAGCAATGAAGGGTCTCAGGTTCAATTCCCAGTCAGGGGCACATACCTAGGTTTCAGGTTTGTTCCTAGCCCCAGTCAGGGCGTGTACAGGAGGCAACCAATCGATGTGTTGCTCACATGGCTGTTTCTCTCTCCTTTTCCGTTCCTTCTGTTCTCTTTAAAAATCATTGGGGGTGGGGGGGAAATCCTAGGGTGAGGACTACAAAAAAATAGACAAAACTTGTCATATTTTTATGTACTAAAACAAGTAATAGCTATACTTGAAGGTGTTAAAATCAGGAAAACATTGACTTTTTCTTTTTTTCCCCCCTAGACTTTTGAAACTCACAACGCCTCTACACCTCTACAAGAAAGAAACCTTGAGCTAGATATAAACAGTATGTGTGTTTTAAAATAAAAACTGAAATTTGAAAGTATACTCTTAAAAATGAAAATTTTCCTATCTCTTAGCAATGAGTTGGCAATAAAATGAAATGGTACAGCCATTCTGAAACATTTTTATGGCTTTCCAATGGCATAGGAACTGCTATTGATTTCATATTAAGTAAAGAAAGCAGAATAGAAAATTGTGTGTATTTTATAATCCCAGTTTTAAAAATATACTTTTTTATTCTCTGAAAAAGGGCTACACAGGAATATATAAAATGTTAACTGTACTTATTTCTGTGTGGTAGAATTATGAGGGGCTTTTATTTTCTTTTTTATCAGTGCTTTCCAATTTTTCTACAGTAAAAAAATATTACAATCAAAAGAAGAACCAGTAAACATTATCTTTAAATTATACAAGCAAGTTGAAAGGTTAGGAATTAAAAGGGGATAATTTGGGGATGAAATATATTCCTAACAGCTCTTTTATTTGAAATCTTCCATCTATAGTGGATTCAAGGATCATTCATGAAAACATAATAGAAAAAGACAGAGTACAAAGAGTGACTCAAGAAATTTTTGGAGACTCTCCTCAACCAAGACTAGAATTTGCACAATATAAGGTAGGACATTGCTATAAACTGTCTACAGTTATCAATATTTTCTTAAGAAAACAAAACATCTAAGTGAACTGGTTCTAAGAAACTTTCTTATTCATTTGTTGCTTTAATTTTGTATAATCACTTTATGAGTTAAAATAGACTTCTCTATAATATTTAGTAAGTTTCTCTATTAATAAAGAAGACCTTTGGAAATTTTGAATTTACCTTTTCATTTCATCTTTCATATTAATTCCATTATATATAATTGGCTGTGATCTATATTTTTGAGGGGGAAAATTTCTAATCCATCCATACCTAGAACAACACTTACAATGCAGCGGGTTGAATAAAAGAGTGAATAAAGAAGACATTATATAGTCCAGTTGGTATCACATGGAGAAAAAAACAGTAGCCTTGTTATAATAGTTCTGTAAACCTAGCTCATCTTAGAAGTGTACCACTGCCTACCAAGAAGACCATTGCCACCCTTACAAGAATTCAAGGTTTTGTCATGATCACTAATGTCATACTCATGCACATATAACATTCTCCTCCCCTTAAACATCTCATTAAAATTCTTTCTGCTTAGTGCGCCTACAGCTACAGGCCACACACTTCAAATCTGCTGTAGATCTGCTCATTTAGGCATAATGCTTATTTGGTTTGTGTTTTTATTACGAATAGCTGACTAACACCTTTCAAGTTTGGTTTCCTGAATAGCAGGTTTTAATCCAGTTCCTTTAGAAAGCTTGTACTGTGGGACACTGGTTCTCAAAGTGTGGTTCCCTGGACCAGCGGTACCAGCATCACCTGGGAATAGATAAGAAATTCGGATTCTCGGCCCCACTTTAGTTCTACTGGATCAGAATTCCGGAGGTGCCATCTGGTTTCACAAGCCCTCGAGCTAATTTTGCACGCTAAAGTTAGAGATCCACTGAAGGAGTATACAGAAGACTTAATCTACAAAATTTCCCTTTACATATAATATATCTTAGAATGGCTCTATTCTGTAAGTCAGGGTGCACATTGATGCATACCTGCCACTAATTTTTCCCCACTTCCTATTTTGAAAAATGTCAAACCTTCAGAAAACTTGCAAGAATATTACAGTGAATATCCACGCCCCTTTGCTTCAGTTCACCAATGGTAAACTTGCTTTCTTTCTTTATGCTGAACCATTTGAGTTAGTTGCAGGCATTACTCTTAAGTTATTTCAACACACTGCCTCTAAATGCAAAGGATCGCTTTAAGTTTAAAAAAAAAAATTTGAAATTAGAATCTAAGAACCAAGAACCTATTGAATTAGCAATACTTGGATATTTGATATTAAGTTTTTTTTATGTATGGTAATGTTAGGGGTGAAAAGCGTCCTTTTTAGGTGTTTTTAGATACATATTGAAATATTTACAGATGGAATACTATAATGTCCTGGGTTTGCTTCAGAATAATCTAATGTGGGTAGGCTGTAGGGAATGGGAAGAAAGGTGGTAAGTAAAAAAATACTGACCACTAGTTGATCATTGTTTCAGTCCCATGATATGCACATGGGACTCATTATACTGTGCACCTTACTTTTGTATGTTTTCTTTTAATCTTCCATAATGAGAAGTAAAGAAATCATGGTAGTGATTCAAAAGACATGCCATTTTTATATTGAAATAACAGGTTACCAAAGATAGTGCTAATTTTCCACTAAGAATGCAAAATACTCCCTAGCTGGTTTGGCTCAGTGGATAGATAGTTGGCATACAGACTGAAGGGTCCCAGACACATGCCACATTACAGACTCAATCCCCCGTAGGGGGCGTGCAAGAGGCAGCCAATATCTCTCATCATTGATGTTTCTATCTCCTTCTCTCTTCCTCTATGACATCAATAAAAATATATTTTTTTTTAAAAAGTATGCAAAATAGGACACCTGTAGGTGAAACTGCCATCCAGAATCTCCTGTGTGTCAGGCACTGTGCACACTTAGCATTTTGTGTGTTCTATTGTTTGATATGCTAGTTGCCCTCTACATTTTCAGTTATCAAATTAATGCTTCTCTCATCCACTAATCCCTGTATTTCTTGATGATAATAATTAATGAAATGAGTAATCCAATGCCATTCCAACTGATATATTTAATAGTCATTTATTAAATATATTTGTTGACAGCTTGAAACGAAATTCAAAAGTGACTTAAATAGGGGCATCTTGGCAGAAAGAAAAGAACCTCTCCGGTGCCTAGTAAAGTTCTCTAGCCCGAATCTTCTGGAAGCATTGAAATCCTTAGCACCAGCAGGTAAGTAATCAGTTTATTTTGCAAGCTAGAACAATTAACAGCATACTACATTGAAACCTCTCTTTGCTGACTAATTACCTCTGAGCTTTCTCATGACCAGTCTGGTATCCCATCATACTCTATCTATATTGCATAGTCTGCTTCTGCACATAATGGGGGTCCATGATCTTGCCCATTTTTAAACTGACTCAAATCTTTACCCTGTGATTATTTTTATTGTCTCTTCTTTTTCTTTTTTTAATTTCAGGTATTGCAGATGCACCACTTTCTCCATTGCTCACTTGCATACCCCAAAAGAGAATGAATTATTTTAAAATTAAAGATAAATAAGACATACATGGTTTGTAAGCATCACATCTCCCTGACTGTATTTCATACACATTTCATTTCATGGCTAGCTGTTTTAGACATGATCCCTTAATACTGACAATTTTAAAATGTTCAATATAATTGTTGGGAATGATTATTTCCTCTTCCACTGTGTGGTTCCTCTTCCTTGTATCCTGCAAAGCATAGCAGTTGTGGGTCTTTAAGTGTCAGGATGTCCTTTTTCTCACACCTGTCTCTCCTTTCCTAGAGAGGTCTGGTTCTAATTGCTGGTGTTTAGGAATTTTCTCTTAAGATTTGGATCACATAAAGAAATGCCAAGAAACTATACCAATTCAAAACTTTATAGGAGAATCATAAACTTGGTACATTCAGAGGGTAGACTTGGGTCTATTAAGTTATTATTGCAGGAGGTAGTATATTAGATGATTTAATTATATAAAATAATGGTTTCATTGTAAATATACTTTTTGTAACCTATTGTACATATGACATTCAAACTGACCAATTTTATACTGACTTGTGAATAAAGATATTTAAAAACTGATACATAAATTACTTTTTTTAAAATATATTTTATTGATTTTCCACAGAAAGGAAGGAAGAGGGACAGAGAGCTAGAAACATCGATGAGAGAGAAACATTGACCAGCTGCCTCCTGCACACCCTCTACTGGGGTGTGCCCGCAGCCAATGTACATGTCCTTGACCGGAATCGAACTTGGGACCTTTCAGTCCACAGACCAACCCTCTATTCACTAAGCCAAACCAGTTTTGGCCATACGTTACTTTGATGAAAATAAGAGGCTTATTATAGAGATACATAAATACAATCAGAGAAATGAGTTAAAGTATGATTTATAATACAGTGGTATTTTCTACAGACTATAGGTATTTTATGTGAAAAATATGTTTTTAGATTTAATTAGCATTAGCAAAGACATTTCAGTTATCTCAGAGTGAGGCACTGAGTCTGCAAGGACTTAATGCTAATTTCCTTATGGATTACTGTTGTGATTTAAAGCATCTGTGCACACAGGGCAGGCACTTCTGCTCGGTGCCTGAATGGCTGTGTTAGGTCTGCACAGAGGTGCTGCATGTTCCTGGGTTGGCTTCTCACAGCTCACAGCCTTCCTTGGTGCTTGGCAAGGGTGTGCAACTGAGACCTGAATGAGAAGATGCTAATCATATTATTCAGTCTGTAGTAGAATCACTTGAGGCCCTCCCAGACAGAAGTACCTGCTTAAGGAAATGAGAATACAGGGAACTTTTACCTATTATGTGCTTGATGGTCCACATACGCATACTGTATTCAAATGTAGTCTTGAGAACAGATGGAGCAGTAAATATACATCCAAGAACCTCTATAGTGAAGGTATTTACTGCCTAATGTAAAATTAGGGAAAAGAAATTGCTTCAGAATAATGCAGTGGGATTTTTGAATTTTTTCTAATTAGGAATTTATTTAATTTTACATTAGGTAGAATCTCTAAAAATGAATACTAGCTAAAATTAATCAAGCCCTTAAATATATGCAAACACTGCTAACTATTTTATATGCATTGTTTTATTTTCATAACAATCCTTTAAGGCAGGCAGCATTACTAGTCTTACCCTACTTAAGTGAATAACAAACCTTCGTCTAGCAAATAAGTGGCTGAGCCCACATTACTAGTTAACTACAGGCAGTCAGACTTCAGAGCCTGCACTCTTAGACTCCACTCGAAAAAGAGCAATAGTCCATGGATCCTGTCCCACACTTAGATATGCGTGTTTTGTTTTTTGGGGGGTTTTTTGGCCCACGATATTTTTAAACCATAGTTCCTTTGGTGGGCAGAATAATACCCCCTGTTCAAAAGATGCCCTGGAATCTGTATATTACCTTACGAGCAAAGGGACTTTGCAAATGAGGAGAGTTCGTGAATGGGCCCAATGTAATTATTAGGGTACTCAAAAATGGAAGAGAAGAGAGCAAAAGGTGATATGACTACTGAAGAAATCAGAGTGACATGACGATTCAGCTCACCATTACTGACTTTGAGAAGCTGGAAGAGGCAAGTAAACGGCTACTTCCACAGAGCCTCCAGAAGAAATGCAGCCCTGCCAACTCCTCAATCCTAGTCTAATCTCTAGAACTGTAAGATAATGAAGAAAGAGTGAAGATGGGGAATATATAAGATGAATCATTTTAGCTAAGCTACTAAAAATTGTTCTAACTAACCTTGGAACATAAACTTTTTTTTTTTTTTTTTACCTTTCTAGTCCTGTGTCAATGCTTGGATTTACAAATGGACTTCTAGATAACCCTCTATCCCCTAGAGGACTCACGTATACATCCACCTGATATACATTATCCAGATCAAAGGATGTGACCAAACCTCCAGGCATCCATCACCCTGCCTGCCCTGACACATGACTGATAATCATCCTGGGTCAATTGTAAGGTTAAGAATGCAGGACTGATAATTCTCAAGAATGTACTTTTTATTATAAGGACTTAACTTTTCTTTCTGCTTTGGAACACATTTTTGCCTTGCTGTGTTCCCAGCTTGCAAACTCCAAGACCCTTGAATATCCTTTCATTTATTTCCAGCCAACGCCTCCAGGTTCTTTGAATCTCTTCAACAATAACAAATCTGTGTTTTAAGCCACTAGCTTGTGGAAATTTGTTATTGCAGCATAGAACACTAATACATATGCTCATATATAAATGTTGAATGTTTTCACATAAATATATTGAAAAACAAATCCAGTGATATCAGAGATGCAGCTGCTCCCCTTTAAACAAAGATTTATTTCTCATTTCACTGCAGTCCTTACCCCTTCCTTTTGTCTATACCTGACCTACTGGTCTCATCTACATGACCTACCTAGTCCCTCTAGGTACTTAGGTTTTAGAACCCTGCCCTGAACTCTACTGTCTCCCAAATAGTAATGGAATCTTATCCTTTAAAATATAAGCAAGTATACCCAGCCTCCCTAAAATGATTAGTTCTGCCAATTATAACGTCCTTTTGTTTGTATAATGTAACCTGTGGGCTAATTAGTTACTTCTCTGCAAAACTTATAGTGCATACCCACTATGGCTGTTTTGAAGACACTAAATGACAAGTGCTTTCTCAGTGTCTGGCACATGGTAAACAGTAAATGAAATACAGCTATAATTAACTTCTAGTTGTCTGTCCTGCTGTTGAACACTTGAGTTGTTTCTAATCTTTGGGAAGTAAAACTTCTGAACGCGTCACTTTTTCTTCAATTATTGCCTGATGTCAAGTTTCTTGGAAGCACAACCAATACCCTCTACCTGTTCACAGGAATCCTAATGAAGTTTTGCAATCCTCCCCTCACCTGGCAGCAGCACCCCGCTGGCCTGCAGGGGGCGCCGCGTCCAGCCCAACCTGACCGGATGCTAATAAGCCTGGAGGCCCCGCCCCCTGCCGGAAGTGCAGTGTTAAGAGGCGGGGCCTGCGAGCTGGGTCCGACTGCTGTGCGGGAGCCATGGCGGCCTCTGAGGCGGCGGCGGCGGTGGGACCCGCGGCTCCGGCCTCGGGCGCCCCGGCCGTCCCGGCGGCCGCGAGGGGGGCCGCCGCCGCCGCCGCCTCCGCCGCCTCGGGCTTGTGGAGACCCCCCGGGCGGCTGAGGGGCAGCCGGCCTCGGCCCGCGGCGGCGAAGCAGCTGCCCGCGGGTCCGGCGCCGCCGGCCGGGGAGCTGATCCAGCCGTCGGTGAGCGAGCTGTCCCGGGCCGCGCAGACCAACATCCTGTGCACCGTGCGCGGGTGCGGCAAGATCCTGCCCAACAGCCCCGCGCTCAACATGCACCTGGTCAAGAGCCACCGCCTGCAGGTGAGCCCGCCGCCGCCCGCCCCATGGCGCCGCCTCAGGCCTGGCGCCGGCACAGCGCCCCGCCGGGGGCGTGGGCGCGGGTGCTGCTCCCCGGGGTCCGGAGGGCGCCGTGACGGGCCAGACCGAGGGGGGCGTCCCGGCCGGGGAAGGAGGGAGCGAGGACGCGGGAACGCGTACTGATTGGGAAACACTGTGTCATGCCGGTCGGACCCGCCGGGACTGCCGGCCTCGAACTTCGCGGCCCGGGCGTGGATCTCTCTCGGCAGTTCTCTCGGCAACTTGGTGTGAGGTACGGACCTCCCGGTCTCATTCCATCGATGAGAAACGGGTTACGGAACCCGAGTGGTGCTGGGATTTAAACCTGGTCTCCGGTCCCGGAGCCCCAGTGCTTCCCACCACGCCCACCGCGGGGAGAGGGAGCCGGCTGCAGGCCCGGCTCAGCGCCGCAGGGACCAGCTTGAGACCCGAGAGGAATGTCTCCCGTCTGAACATCCCTTCTACCCTATATAAAATATAATGCACGTCTGTGGAAGGCTTATTAAAAATCCAGATGTTCAGCCGAAACCTATTTGGCTCAGTGGATAGAGCGTCGGCCTTGCGGACTGAAAGGTCCCAGGTTCGATTCCGGTCAAGGGCATGTACCTTGGTTGCGGCCACATCCCCAGTAGGGGGTGTGCAAGAGGCAGCTGATCGATGATTCTCTCTCATCGATGTTTCTAACTCTATCCCTTTCTCTTCCTCTCTATAAAAAAACGATAACGTATATTTTTTTTAAAAAAAAAAATCCAGATGTTCATTCCCACCCAGACCTGTGAAATCATAATTTCTCAGTCATTATAATTGGAGGTTTCCTCCCACCACTTAGAGCCCTTCTTGGCCAACAGCGACATAATTTGAAACCTTCAGTCACTGAAAGCAGTTTTTGTTAGTATGTAGCTTTTGACAGTCTGAATTGGTTAAGGAGGAAGCTAAAATTACCTGGCATATTGCATGTTTCTCCTTGGAAACGTCCTTAGAATCAGGCTTCTGATAAGGATTTAACAGCAGGAAGTCTAATAGCTATGGCAGCTGTGTTGCCCATGAAGAGTAATCTTTTCATAGGCACCAACTGAACAGAAAAGCAGCTGCCTTCCCACAGGAGGACTAGGAACCCCGAAAAGGTACCATACAGGGAGGTGTGCTGAGGAACACCCTGCAGGTGGGGCTATGATTCTCCTCACAGGAGTTTGAGGTTTCGGCAAGAACACACGTGAAGTAACTCTGGGAATGGGCTCCTCTTTCATGCCACCTTTTAACTAGATCCTTCCTTTTCTTTTCACCATATTTATTTTCCTTAACCGTATTTTAACTGGAGTGGATGAGTATACACTCGTAGGAATTCTACAGCCTAATCCCTTGGTTCTCTTTAGCTCATAGACCATCGCCATCACCCACCTTCATCCCACAGCTACGGCAAACTTTACATCTCTGAGCACAAGTGAAGCTGCCAGTCTAACGAGGACCGTCCTCGTGTTGGCTGAACAGCACTAGGAAGCGCGTCTCAACGCTTTACATTGTTCTTTCTTTGGAATTGCTGTCTGGAGCTGTACAACTCTCAAGACTTTATGCAGCATCTGTTTAGCATGAAGAGAGCACTTGCTCTCCATGGTAGTGCTACTATGTATATAATAGGTTTATTTCTAATTGTGTTTATAAAATGTGAAGTTCAGAATTGTAAAGATACCAATACAGAAGATATAATAGACCTAAGGAGGAGAAATATATTTCAGGAAAATACAAACTTTGACAGATCTTTACTTGGACTTCAGCCTTTCAGAGTATACATCTCCTCCCTTGCTTAGAACACGTGTAATGTCATTCTTCAGTTCTAGTCAGATTCATTTTTCAGGTTTTTCTGAAGACAGCACTCGAGATCCCTTTCCAAATTAAAAGTGTTGAACAATAAAAATGGGCTTTTCTGAGTTTCCTTCCAAAGTCACCAGGGAGACCTGTTTCAGTGGGAATTAAAGAAACCTCGCTGAGAACCATCATTGTGTTTTTTTTCCTTGTCAAACAGGCTCACTTTCTTGACTTATTCTGCCTTTCTAACCATGGTACATAGCAGCCTCTGAGCATCTGATGTCTTGGTGGAAAGGGAAGAGGTCCACTTTCTTTAATAAAAGTGACCTATGTGACGAAACCAGTTTGGCTCAGTGGATAGAGTGTCAGCCTGCGGACTGAAAGGTCCCAGGTTCAATTCCGGTCAAGGACATGTACTTTGGTTGTGGGCATATCCCCAGTAGGAGATGTGCAAGAGGCAGCTGGTTGATGATTCTCTCTCATCTATGTTTCTAATTCTCTATCCCTCTCTCTTCCTCTCTGTAAAAAAATCAATAAAATATATATTTTTTAAAAGTGACCTATGTGACAAAATAACCATATCCATATGGTAATGTCTCAGAGAGGCAAGTCTGTATTCTTAGTCTGGATCCGTAATAGAGGCTCTTGAATTCAAACATTACTTTTGACACTTGATGTTCTCAAAGTATTGGGAGAAGGCCTGATAAGAGCTGACTGGGAGTTCCTCAGGGTTTTAAAAGCAGTCTGTGTTTAGACCAGAGACTTCACTTTCAGCCAAGTTCAGTTCTGAAGCTAATCTTGAGTATATTTGGTTGGCACTTTGCATAACATTTAGTGGAAAATGTCCCTTTGATTCTCTTGGTTGCAGCTACTTGCATATTTCTAGTTCCTCTCCTAATTTTTATTTTTTTTAAATATTATAATTTTTTTAAATATATATTTTATTGATTTTATACAGAGAGGAAGAGAGAGAGAGAGATAGTTAGAAACATCGATGAGAGAGAATCATCGATCAGCTGCCTCTTGCACACCCCCCACCGGGGATGTGTCCGAAACCAAGGTACATGCCCTTGACCGGAATCGAACCCGGGACCTGTCACTCCCCAAGCCGACGCTCTGTCCACTAAACTGGTTTCGGCAAAATATGATAATTTTTATTCCTTTCCCTGTTAGTTGCTATATGGTTCCAATTCTATTCTAATCTTTCTTAATAGGATACCCTGCCCCTAACCAAATATTCCTTAACATAAATGATTAACAAACCCTTCTGAAAGATGATGGATAAGAGTGGGATTGTAAGGTAAAGGGTACATGCTGCATTTTGGTTTTATGTGGGTTCTTAAGATATATGTCTATATTTCATATCCAATAAGAAAATATGGAAATATCCTAGTGCAGCCTTGCCGAGGGGGATCCATGCAGAAATGAAAATTGATGATTCAGTGAAAGGAATAATAGGAGTAAATGGGCATTTCTTGATGGTTAGAAATTCTTTTATTCATTGTGATTGAAAGCAGTGAAAAGGACAGGAGAACCCTTAGAGAACTTTTTATCCAGCAACGTTTATATTTTTATTTATTATTATTTTTTAATATATTTTATTGATTTTTTTACAGAGAAGAAGGAAGAGACATAGAGAGCTAGAAACGTCAATGAGAGGGAAACATCGACCAGCTGCCTCTTGCACACCCCCCACCGGGGGATGTGCCCGCAACCAATGTACATGCCCCTGACCGGAATCGAACCCGGGATCCCTCAGTCCGCAGACCGACGCTCTACCACTGAGCCAAACTGGTTTCGGCGTTTATATTTTTAAAACATGACTTAGAGGGCTGGCTGGTGTGGCTCAGTGATTGACCCAGGAACCAAAAGGTCACTGGTTTGATTCCTGTCCAGGTCACATGCCAGAGTTGTGGGCTAAATCCCCAGTAGGGGTGTGCAGGAGGCAGCCAATCAATGATTCTCATTATTTTTTCCCATTAGAAAATATTCACATCAAAGTTTCCGGAGATGTTAACAACTTGAGGTTTAGCAGTAAACTGGCTCATACTTGCACGTTCTCTCCTTTGTCACCTGAGAGAGCCATGACTGATGATACAGGTATCAGCATGAAAGGGTTGTTGAGAACCGAAGTTTTGTTCAACAATTAAGACATTTTTTCATGAAAAATTTGGTCAAGAACTGAATTGTTCAAGATGGGAGACATTCGAGAACTGAGGTTTGACTTTGAAAATTTTTAGCCAAAATCTCAATCACATTTAATAATAAGGGATTATTAAGATTATGTACGAGTTAATGTATATAAAGTGCTTAGAAGAGTTCCTAACGCTAGTAAAAGCTTTGTTAGTACTGACCTGTATAATAATCATTAAATTTCAAACATAGTATGCTATATAAAAGTTATGTCAACTAGCCTTAGCTACTTTAGGGGCAGTGTGATAATCAGAGAAAGTCACAGTGCTTTTTATCAGGAAGGCCAAAATCATAGTCAAGGGAGGCTTTTTTAGGAGTTCATACTAAGACCCTGGACATGAGAGAAAAGGGAAAGGAAGACTTAAGGATGATATAGAAATCTTGAGCCTGATAAACTGTAAATATACCACTTTGCAAATAGAGTAGGTGGCTTCAAGTTGTTGACTTGAAGAACCTGTAGAAAATTTTTACGAGTTTTTAAGAGTTTATGTGCCCCAAACAGAGGACATGTCTAGAAGCAAAATCTCAGCAGAGGAGAATGTTTTCCAGAATGACAAGTTTACAGTTGCTTTTATACATTTGGAATTAAGGAGGGAAGTAAAGAAGATTACATGAAAATGGGAGAATTTAAGGCAGGGAAATATTTATGATTGGATCTGAGGGATGAAAAGCAGCATTTTACAGGGATGTTAACCTACATGCACATAAATAATGCACAGGGCTTGCAAAGAGAAACTTCTAGGGAAGTGACAGACCTGAGGCACGACTATCCATGACCTGCCCAGTTAGGAATGTCTAATCAGATCACCCTGGGAAATTGCTTTGTTAGATTTGTTACAGAACCCCTCTTTCATCCACAAAGGGAAGAAATTGTAGATGTAGAATGGATAAAGGAATAGATAGAATTTGAAACAACATGGTTTGAGCTGTAGTTCATACATCATAAAGTTTACCTAATTTAAGTGAATAATTCATTTATTTTAGCATTGTGCAACCATCACCACAATTCAGTTTTAGAATATTTTAATCTTTTAAATAAGATCCCTTGTTCCTGTCTTTAGTCATTCCTTGTTTTTACTCCCAGTCTGTTGTATTGATTTTTTTTGAAAATAATTATTTAAAATAATTTTTCTTTTTCAGGATGGCATAGTAAATCCAACAATAAGAAAAGATTTGAAAACTGTACCAAAATTCTACTGTTGTCCAATTGAAGGATGCCCTAGAGGTCCTCACAGGCCATTTTCTCAATTTTATCTCGTAAAACAGGTATTTTACTTAAGTATACTTCTCTGAGGATGAAATGCAAATGGTATAAACCTAGTGTGCATTCTAATTACTTAACCAAACATAAGTAGAGAATTGAGCAGAAAGTTGTGTGAGGATATCCACCCAAAAGTATTCCAGTTGGAAAAGGTGAGTAAGGTATAATGCACGTGAAGGAAACGTGCCTTGTTCTGGAGGGAAAGATGTCCAGAAGTGGATTCAGAGAGAAAGAGAAAATGGTTAATTCAAAGAATGAGAACATGTGTACTTCGTATCTCTTGTGTGAATCTGTGCCTCCAAGGTTCGACAAGCAAAGGCACAAAGGAAATGTTCTCCCAAAGGAGTAAGATAAGGCAGAATTTCAAAAATGGCTATCTTAAGGAGAGGAAGGGGGCCCAGCAACTGGGAAAGGAGGTGATTCAGGAATGGAAGAAATTGGCAGCTGAACTACTTCCCAGAGGGTTTGCTGGAGGGTCCTATAGAAAGTACTGCAAAGACTTATTCTGCCTACAGCACTTGTTTGTAGATCAGAACCTAAATGCTGGGTACTACAGATTGTTTCCAAAACTGTCCCCATATTTTTCACAAAGTAGAAGTGATAGGAAGAGAGGCATATGATAAACTGCAATTTGCCGGCTTCTATTTTCTTTTATTTGGACTGCTGTGTTTTATCGTGTAAAATCATTGTTAATTTGGGTATGTTGATGGTTTTTGAAATTTTTTGAGCAGTTGCAGTTTTTCATTCTGGTTCCTTTGTGTTCTTCCTAGCACTTTATGAAAATGCATGCTGAAAAGAAGCATAAATGTAGTAAGTGCAGCAATTCATATGGCACTAAATGGGACTTGAAGAGACATGCAGAGGATTGTGGCAAGACCTTCCAGTGCACATGTGGCTGTCCATATGCAAGTAGAACTGCATTACAGTCCCACATCTACCGAACTGGCCATGAGATCCCTGCGGAGCACAGGTAAAGGGGAAGAAATGGTGGCCCAAAAGTCAGTAGTTGTGGGAAGAGTTTCAAATGAAACTTCCTGGAAAGCTGTTAGTGTAGGAAGAAAGGAGGAATAATGGGAAAAAGGTAAGACATGGAAGAAAGGAACTTTCAGAAATGGTAGCAGTACTAACAAAGGATCCATGTCTACTTAACCCAGTTCTTTCTTATTTCTGCCAACTCCTTTTGAGGGTCCCTTAACATGAAACTATACTTCATTTTATTTATTTACTTATTTATGCTCGCTCAAGGATTTATTCATTGATTCCAGAGAGAGGAAGGGAAAGAGAGAAACATCAATTGGTTGCCTCCTGTATGCACTCCAACTGGGGATTGAACCCACAATGTAACTATGTGCCCTGACTGGGAATCAAACCCTGCAACCTTTTGGTATACAGGAAGATACTCCAACCAGCTGAGCCATCCAGCCATGGCTATACTTCATCTTAAAGGCCAGATTTATATTTGGGGTAGCTTTATATTTCTAAAGCTTCCTACTTTAGAAATGATAAAAGTTGCATTATTTAATCTGTTAGCATTCTTGCAAATCTAAGTTCTAGTACTTAGAGCTGTGTCTCCCCCACCCTCCACAAAAAAAGGTACGCTTTCTCCTTCCCTGTTTGCATGTTCCTGAACTTCTGCCTGCCATACAGCAGGCTCAGTTCTCCAAGAGGTGTAAAAGAAGGGACTTCTCTTCACTGGGTTGATTCTGACCTCTTTTTACTCTGTCATTTTCAGGGACCCACCTGTTAAGAAAAGAAAAATGGAAAACTGCCTGCAAAACCAGAAGTTGTCCAATAAGACCGTTGAATCCTTGAGCAACCAACCAACCCCGAGACCAGATACTCAAAAAATAGAGACTTCAGAAATAAAGCTAGCTGCATCTTTTGAAGACTCTTGTGGCTCTAATGCCAGAAAGCAGACTCTTACAACAGCTCCAAAATATCCTCAGAAATTGCTTTTACCAAAGCCTAAAGTGGCTTTGGTTAAACTACCTGTTATGCAATTTTCGCCTATGCCTGTCTTTGTGCCTACAGCTGACTCCTCAGCCCAGCCTGTAGTGTTAGGTGTTGATCATCAGGGCTCTGCCTCCAGTGCTGTGCACTTACTACCCTTGTCAGTAGGAACTCTGATTCTTGGCCTTGATTCAGAAGCCTGCTCTCTTAAGGAGAGCCTTCCTCTTTCAAAAATTATAAATCCTGTTGCTGTTGAGCCGATTAGTACAGGTGTTCAAGTGAACTTGAGTAAAAATTCATCTAGTCCTTCACAAGAACTAGGGAACGCATGTCAAAAGAACAGCATTTCTTCAATCAATGTACAGACAGATCTGTCTTACGCCACACAACACTTTATACCTTCTGCACAGTGGGTCAGCCCTGATTCCTCTGTATCGTCTTGTTCTCAAACTGATTTGACTTTTGGTTCTCAAGTTTCCCTCCCCATTAGTGTTCATACTCAGACATTTTTGCCCAGTTCTAAAGTAACTTCATCTAGAGCTGCTCAGACTGATGCGTTTTTAGATGCCTCTTTCCAGGCAGGTGGAATCTCCAGAGAAACTCAAACCGGTGGAATGGGAAATCCAACAGATGACCGAGTACAAATGGACCAAGCTGTAATGTGCAGAGACATTTTTGAGGGTGTCCATTCATCGTACGGTATTACTACAGACAATATTATAAGCAGCAGCTTAGTAGGAGAGACTGTTACTCATGCTTTGTTACCTCAAAACCACTCTAAGGCTTTAAGTCAAGATACTGAGAAATCTGTACCAGTTATAAACTTTAGTGCACAGAACAGTATGCTTCCTTCACAGAACATGACAGATAATCAGACCCAAACTATGGATTTATTAAGTGATTTAGAAAACATCTTGTCTAGTAATCTGCCTGGTCAGACACTGGACAATCGTAGTCTTCTGTCTGACACGAACACTGGACCTGATAGCCAACTCCCGTCTGGTTCAACCCAGAATCCCACAATTGATTTTGATATCGAAGAGTTCTTTTCGGCCTCTAATATTCAGACTCAAACTGAAGAGAGTGGGCTTAGCAGCATGACCACTGAGCCGGTCTTAGAATCACTGGACATAGAGACCCAAACTGACTTCCTACTTGCAGACACCTCTGCCCAGCCCTATAGTTATAGGGGAAATTCTAATTTCTTAGGCCTTGAAATGTTTGACACGCAGACACAGACAGATTTGAACTTCTTTTTAGACAGTAGTCCTCATCTGCCTCTAGGAAGTATTCTGAAACACTCCAGCTTTTCCATGAGTACTGATTCGTCTGACACCGAGACCCAAACTGAAGGGATCTCCGCTGCTAAAAACCTATCTGCTCTAGAAAGCAAGGTTCAGTTAAATAGTACGGAAACGCAGACCATGCATTCTGGCTTTGAAACCCTGGGGAGCTTGTTCTGCACCAGCAATGAAACGCAAACAGCAATGGATGACTTTCTTCTTGCCGATTTGGCCTGGAACACGATGGAATCTCAGTTCAGCTCTGTAGAAACCCAGACATGTGCGGAACCACACACAGTCTCCAACTTCTAAAAGTGAAGTTCATATGGGAATGGCATTTACAATTTCCTTTATTTAAAAAATGGGGAGTGGAGACAACAGTATTAACTCTATTGAATGTAGTTAATATGCAGTTCTTTGATTTTCTTTGCCTTTTGTACTTATAAACGTGTATAAATGTGAGTGTATTATAAAGTGAAGATGTTGACTTAAAAAGGATTGTATTGTGTTGCCTTTCACAGCTAGTCTTTCCATCTTAAAAGAAAGGGGAGGGGGGCACGTGGGGAGGGACTTCACACTTTTAAAACCCTTCAAGTCGTTTAGCTAAAGCCAAGCTTACCAGGTACCAGGGTACAAACTTTTCAAATCTCCAAAATATTTTAGTCAAAGTATGACTTGCTTAAATCGCCTCTAAAATATTTTTGACAATGCTTGTTAGAAATTCCTTTTCCTGATAGTAAGACCTAAAGAAATTTGATGCTGCACCATCAGGTTTAAGTACCTATGCATGAGTGGTTTGAGGCTCCTACTGTCTGTAGCTTCAGCTGCTTGACATATATCTCTTTTCTGAATTGTAGACACAAAAGAAAACTACATCTGCCTTTAGCTTTTCAGACAGTTTTCATGTAGTCATTGTCATCCCTTCTCTACATGAACTATTATTGATACCAATGTAAGTGTACAGACGTGTTGTAAAATTACTGCTTAAAGTAGTAGTGGCAAGTACTTAGTGTAAATAGTGATCCTTCTAATCGTGGAATCATGCCTATTAGCCCATACCAGTGTGCCCTACAAACATCCCCCCATTCTCTACAGTAGGCCAGGGTGGTGCTCCAGAGCTGTTTGGCTCTTTGTCAAAGTGCACAGGCTGCATCTGAGTTTTGTCACTCTAAACATTTATTAATTATATATATACATATGACATTCCCCCTAAATTTCAATTCATAGCATCTTGAGAGAGAAGAGTGCAATCAACAATTACATTAGAGTGACTCTTCATCCACCTCTCATCTTTTCCTTGAACAAGGAAAGACATTGACTAGGAGGTATTATTTGTGCCTTGAGGATAGCAATTACATAATAGATCCAGTTTCTGTGTTTTGTTGCTTTATTTGTTTAGAAAAGGTAATACCAGACAGTCTTCAAAGAAAACTGAGTTGACTGACTGCTTCAATAATCCTCTATTTTGAGATGGGAGCATGGTCAAGGATGCTTTGGGGATTTTCTATATTTAGGAGATCCTGAATTCTTGATTGTTGGCCAACTTTCAGGCAAATAAAAATCAATGCAGCCTGTAGGTTTTCTAACTTCACCAAAAAAAAAAAATAAATAAAAAATGCTCTGTTCCTTCTGTGGCACATGCTTGTGCCGCTGAAAGTTAAATCTTCAAAATAAAACGTAAGGAGGGGACTAATAAGTTGTGTTGCTAATTCCTATTTCATAGAATTTTTGTTTGTCATGGATAAAGAACGTATCTTGAACTCCACCCGGTTTATAAATGTTTGCTTTGGTCACAGTTGCCTATGAATATGGATTTTGAAACAAACATAAGCCTTAATTAACATTTCATTGTTTTAGAATCATCTCTGCCTTAATGTTCAAAAACCTATTTAAGTCCTAGTAAAGGAGAAATGCATGTTTATTTATGGCTTTTGTAAATATAAATGCAATGGTCTATGGCTTTAAATTTTTTGTTTTGTTTCTGTGACAGTATTTGTTAATTCAGCCAATAGAGTTATTTATAGAAAATGGAGCATGTAATAGTTCATGTGTAAGTAAGCACTATTTCCCCAAAACTTCAGTTACCTGACTTGTTCTAAGAATTGTTTGTAAAAACTCAAATTTAGTGATTAAACAAAAGTAAGAATTCTTCCTTTTTTCTGTGAATTCTTCAACCTACTCATAATGTGACTTAGGTTGTTGCCTTAATTTTTCAAAGTTGTCTTCTGAAAGTCACATGATAAAATGATTGTGCCTAGTTATTTTCATTATTTTACTTATAATCATAAAAGCATGCTAACAGTTTTCCTAATAGAAAATGAAAAAAACATTTCATTCTAACGTTTCTATTTTGATGTAAAGTTTTTATTTTGATAAAAACTATATAAGCTTTTGGAAAATTTATTCAAAGGAAATTATTTCACTTAATACATTTGCCAAATGTGACCATTTTATACTGTGACAACTTTTTGTAAATAATATAGTTCTGGCTTAAGAGCAAAAAAAGGGTTAGAATACAAGTAGTTCTTGGTTGGCCACTAATTTACAGGAAAATTAAATCACTGCTTTTAATTTCCTTGACATGAAATGTAAAGGTAGAAAAAAAATTTGTAGATTTACCTGAAAGGTTTGAAGCTACTTTTGATGGGAAGAAATGTATCAGTGCCAATCTAGTGAAGTTGTGTTATTTTATTTATAGTGGCAAATGACAGGTTGATATTTACATGTCATCCTTTATGGCCTTAATTTTTAATCCTCACCAAAGGATATGTTTTTCCATTGATTCTAGAGGGAGGTAGGCAGAAAGAGAGAGAAACATCAATGGGAGAGAGAAACATCCATTGACTACCTTATGCACACATGTGTATGTGCCCTGACTGGAACAGGAACCAAACCCACAATGCTTCGGTGCACAGGATGGCGCTCTTAACCACTGAGCACACAGGCCAAAGCCTATGGCCTTAATTTTGGAATGTCTATCTTAATTCCAATAGAAAACAACCACAGAGCCTGTCATCTAATATTGACTGTGAAAAGAACTTAATATCTAGTATTTCTAGATTAGTGCTTTTCAAATTTGTCCTCAGAAGGCTCAGGTAATATAGGGGGAGGGAGTGGATTTAGGGATGAAGCCTTTGAAGTCCCAAATATTATGCAGTTCATTTTCCTTATATTTCACAGTATATGTATGTGTTTTCTCATCTGAAGTGTGTTAATCTACCACTGATTAGATGTGACATGGGAAAAGATAGGTCTATCTTTGGTTTATACATAATCCAGCATCTAAAATACTTTGTTCAATGACATGAATTTTAATCCAGTTACTTAAGCAAGATGTTGGCTATTATAATGTTCTTTTTTTTAATTTTTATTTTATCATTTATAGTATTAAAAATAGTACAGATGTATCCTTTTTTCCCCCATGATCTTCCCCCGGCCTCCACTACCCACCCCCAGGCACATGCCCTCCTGCCCACCCCCAGTGTTTTGCACCCATTGGTTATGCTTATAATGCATGCATTCAAGTCCTTTGGTTGATTTCTTACCTCCCTCCCAACCCTCCCCAGCCTTCCTGCTGTAATTTGACAGTCTGTTCAATGCTTCTCTGCCTCTGTATATATCTTTTTATTCATCAGGTTATAATGTTCTTTATTGTCCATAAACAAGTGAGATCATGTGGTACTTTTTTTTTTCATTGACTGGCTTATTTCACTTAGTATAATGCTCTCCAGTTCCATCTATGCTGCTGCAAATGGTAAGAATACTTTCTTTTTTCCGCAGCATAGTATTCCATTGTGTAGATGTACCATAGTTTTCTAATCCACTCATCTGCTGATATGCATTTAGTCTGTTTCCAAAGCTTAGCTATTGTAAATTGTGCTGCTATGAACGTAGGGGTGCATATATCCTTTCTGATTGGTGTTTCTGTTTTCATGTGATATATTCCTAGAAGTGGTATTACTGGCTCAAATGGCAGTTCCGTTTTTTAAAATTTTGAGGAAACGCCACTGTTTTCCACAGTGGCTGCACCAGTCTGCATTCCCACCAGCAGTGAAGGAGGATTCCTTTTTTTCTGCATTCTCTCTAGCACATATCATTTATTGATTTATTGATGATTGTCATTCTGACAGGTGTGAGATGGTACCTCATTGTTGTTTTGATTTGCATCTCTCAGATGATTAGTGACATTGAGCATGTTTTCATATGTCTCTTGGCTTTTTTAATGTCCTCTTTCAAAAAGTGTCTATTTAGGACCTTTGCCCATTTTTTATTGGATTATTTTCCTTTTGTTAAGTTGTATGAGTTCCCTGTAAATGTTGGAGATTAGACTTTTATCAGAGATAACATTGGCAAATATGTTCTCCCATATAGTGGGCTTTTTTGTTGTTTTGTTGATGGTTTCTTTTGCCGTGCAGAAGCTTTTTTATTTTGATGTAGTCCCATTTGTTTATTTTCTCCTTATCTCTCTTGTCCTAGGATCTATGTCTGTAAAGATATTGCTACAACGTATGTCTGCAATTTTGCTGCCTAGGAATAAACTTAAGAATGTAGGACTTTTATGGTTTCCTCTCTTACATTCAAATCCTTTAGTCATTTTGAGTTTGTTTTTGTGTATGGTATAAGTTGGTGATCTAGTTTCATTTTTTTGGCATGTATCTGACCAAATTTCCCAGCACCATTTATTAAAGAGACTGTTTTGACTCCATTGTATGCTCTTACCTCCTTTATCAAATGTTAATTAAGTATAACGGCTTGGGTCAGTTTCTGGGTTCTCTATTCTGTTCTATTGGTCTGTATGTCTGTTCTTGTCCCAGTATCAGGCAGTTTTGAGAACCATGGCTTGGTTATATAGCTTGATATCTGGTATTATGATCCCTCCAACTTTGTTCTTCTTTCTCAAGATAGCTGTGGCTATTTGGGGTCTTTTTTTATTCCAGATGAATTTTTGGAGAGTTTGTTCTAGATCTTTGAAATATGTCATTGGTATTTTAATAGATATTGCATTGAATCTATAGATTGCTTTAAGTAGTATGGACATTTTAATGATGTTGATTCTACCAATCCATGAACATGCTATGTTCTTCCATTTGTTTATGTCTTCCTCTATCTCTTTTTTCAGTGTCCTGTAGTTTTCCAAATACAGGTCTTTTACATCCTTAGTTAAGTTTATTCCTAGTTATCTTGATTTTTGTGTGTGTGTGTGCAATAGTAAATGGAATTTGTGTGTGTGTGTGTGTGTATTTTATTTCTCTTTCTGTGAGTTCATTATTGGCATATAAGAAGGCCATAGATTTCTGGTGTTAATTTTGTATTCTGTTACATTACCAAATTCATTTATTAGGTCTAGTAGTTTCTTGGTTGAGTCTTTGGGTTTTTCTATGTATAGTATCATGGCATCTGCGATTAAGGACAGTTTTACTTCTTTTCCAATTTGTATGCCTTTTATTTCTTCTTCTTGTCTGATCGCTATGGCTAGTACTTTTAGTACTATTATTATAATGTTCTTATGGCCTAGAAGATAGTCTGCTAAATACTATTGTTTTTCAATGTTTACATCCAAAGTATTCAGTCATGTGAACTGTATTGATTAGCAGATACACTGACACATTATTTAGCTATCAAGAGAGGTAGACTAAAGCGCAAATGGAGAGGATTCTTAAGTTTTCAGTGTTTTAAAACATTAATGAATGTGTGGGTACTCATTTAAAAACATGCATGTTTGATCTGGTTGGTATTGCTCAGTAATTAGCATTGGCCCACATACCCAAGGGTCCAGGGTTCAATTCCCAGTCAAAGCAGGTACCTGGGTTGCAGGTTGGACGCCCAGCCCATGTTGGAGTGTGTGCAGGAGGCAAATAATATTGTCTCACATCTATGTTTCTCCCTCCCCCTTTCTCTCTCTTTCTCTCTCCCTCTTCTTCCCTTCGACTCTCTTTAAAAAGCAATGGGAAAAATATCCTTGGATGAGAATTAACAAATATATATATATATATATATATATATATATATATATATATATATGTGTGTGTGTGTGTGTGTGTGTGTGTGTGTGTGTGTGTGTGTGTGTGTGTGTTTGAAAGGAACAAGTGCCCAAATGATGTGAATGAATAAAAGCATTTCCTATAATTCTTGAACTGGAAGAATACCAATATTCATTCAGTTCTTTCAACCAACTTTTCAAGAACTCCAAATTTTATCTTACTAATAAATACATTTGTAATTTTATTCTAAATCCACAATTTCAAAAATAGTGAAGCATAGGAAAAACTATTGCCAAGGCTCTTCTATTAATTGTTGATACTTTACTCTCAAGCAAGTTAATTGTTACAGAACATAAGGCTGGAAAAATAAATAACAAAATTGAAACAAGTGATTCTCTTTTTTAGCTTATCAGTAAAATTTCAGAAAATGAAAAAAAAATTTTGAAAAAATGTATCTCCATGGCAACTGTGTCATTCTCAAAAGAATGTATGTTATCTCAATGTGAAAAACTTTTTTTCCCTAAAGGAGTAAGATTAATAACATGGTATGTGTCAGTTTGACCTGTTCCAGTCCTGGCATCTTTTTACTGCTTCTGCTTGCGGCTTTTTACTCTTTGCGTTCTGATGATCCACTGCATTTTCCATGCCCTGGGTGAAATACTTGGTTTTATGATTGCATCTCAAACATGTTGCTGCTTAGGGCTGAATTTGATACTGATCCCTCTCCTACTTTATCTCATTTTTCCTGTGCTGTAATGAGAAATTTAGTGACTTCAAAAAAATCTAGAGTTCATGCTTCATTAAAAATGTGGCAGAAGTCTGTGCATCTGAATTAACTTATCCCAAAAGAATATTTATCCTTAAAAAGAATATTTACCCTTAAAATGCTCCTCAAAAAATTTTCCCTATTTAAAAAGTGAGCCTTCAAAAATTAAGATTTTATATTACCCTTTTGAGAAACCAAACTTTGGCAAGTTACACTTTAGGAATTATTTATATTGTCTATTTCAGTTCATGATAATTTTTAATATATTTTATTGATTTTTCACAGAGAGGAAGAGAGAGGGCTAGAGAGTTAGAAACATCGATTAGCTGCCTCCTGCACACCCCTTACTGGGGATGTGCCTGCAACCAAGGTACATGCCCTTGACCAGAATCAAACCCGGGACCTTTTAGTCCCCAGGCCGATGCTCTATCCACTGAACCAAACCGGTTTCGGCAGTTCATGATAATTTTTGTTTAGCTATACTGAAGTCTGATATTATTAATGAATTATATAGAGATATAGTATCAATTTTTTTCTCTTTTTCACTCTTTAGTTAAGATGTGGTATATTTTTAAACCACTTAGATCACTATTCTCTAACAAGATACATACCTGACTAGTAGGTCTTCAGATTTACAGTTCTCTAAATAGCTACCATAATGACAATGTCTCTCTAACATTCCATTTTCCTGAAATTACATTAGAGAAATCAGTCAAGGAGATTTGGGTGAATTGCCACAGAAATTGCACCTAGAGTATCAGGATCAGTGGTATTTGTCCCAAGTTAAATGTTTTATTCAGAGATTACAAATTTTCTTCACAGCATCATGCAGATTAGAACAAATGAAATTGCTAACAGCCCTTTCACATTGAGGGTTTGGTTAATAGTCATAACCCTCCAGTGGTACTAAAAATAAGACTAGTTATAGAATATTTTCAAGTTTTCTGTGTGTTTTTTTTTTTGTTGTTGTTGTTTTAGGAGATATATATATATATATATATATATATATATATATATATATATATATATATTTCAGAGATGAGGGAAGAAAGATAAAGAAACAACAATGTCGAGAGAGAATCATTGATTGGCTGCCACCTGCTTGCTCCCTGCTGGGGGTTGAGCCTGCAACCTGGGCATGTACCCTGACTGGGAATGAAACTGATCTCCTGGTTCTGGGTCAATATTCAACCACTGAGCTACACAGGCCAGGCAAAGTTTTAATAAGCAGATAAACAGGAAAGAAGTGTCTGAAGTTTGAACTGGGAGAAAAAGTCATTTTTATTTGTATTTGTGAAGTATCCATGTTTAAACAGAGATTTCCTAATAATGTGGCATTAAATGGAAATACATTAATAATGATGCACATTCTCGTGAAAGAGCCAACAGCTCTTCCTGGTGATGCCTAATATGCCCTGTGTTGCTATGAGAGATTGTCTTAGAGAAAAGCAGGCTTGTCCTCGCCTTCTTTTGGAGGGGCAGGAGGCTCCAGAAGACCCTGAAGGACCAGGAGTACCTATGCTTTCCAGGATGAAGCAAGCAGATCTCCCACATTTCTTTCACCTCTGTGCCTAGGTTTCTGCTTACTCTGTAAGTAAACTGTCAAACAAGCTGCAAATGAAGGCTTGGTTTCTAGAATTATTAAATCCCTAAAGCAGTGGTTCTCAACTGGGCCAATTTTGCTCTCCTGACACTTGGGAACATCTGGAGACATTCTTGGTGGTCATAACTGGCGTTAATATTGGCATCTGGTGGGTAGAGACCAGGCATATTGCTAAGCATCCCACCATGCACAAAACTGCCCCCACCATAAAGAATTACCCAGCCCTGAATGCCAACAGTTCCAAGATTGAAAACCCCCACCCTAGCAATAAGTCAGTTGGTGAGGTGGAACTTTAGGCATTGCAATAGATGCAATGTGAAGCTGGGCTCTTGGTTCTCTTAACAAGCATGTTTTTGTTTGTTTGTTTGTTTGTTTGTTTGTTTTAAGTATGTGTTATTAGAGAAGATTGAGTCCCCATAGTCTTGTGTTAAAAAAAAAAAATTTAATCTCTAGGATTTTTACTATCAGTAACTTTTGAAATACATAATTTGAAACTTGCTTAGATTTTTTTTCTTTTAAATTTTATAGTACAAAGATCAGGATCCAGAGCAAACATCGCAAATCTGTGACAGAAGGAATTATTCAACCTTTTGAGTCTCTTGTAATGGTTGTAGGCAAGTTAATTAGGCTAAAATGACAGATGAAGATTAATTCCCTTGTTTCATAGGCCAGTGGTCAGCAAACTCATCTGTCAACAGAGCCAAATGTCAACAGTACAACAATTGAAATTTCTTTTGAGAGCCAAAAACCGACTTCTGCACATGGGCCTTGAAGTTTCAACCGCACTGTAGGGGCGCACCCCATTGTAGTATTTTGTGGAAGAGCTTTGTTCAAGGGGCCAAAGAGCCTCATGTAGCTCGCGAGTCGCATTTTGCCGACCAATGTCATAAGGCAAAGGCAGCAATGCCCAGTGGCAAAGCTGGAGTATTGAAAAAGAAAAAAAGAAAAAAAAAAAAAGGCCTCATTAGGTAGCTGAGTTGGTTAGAACATTGTCCCTTTACATGAAGGTTATAGGTTCAATCCCTGGTCAGAGCACATATAAGATTCAACCAATGAATGCATAAATAAGTGAAACAACAAATCCATGTTTCTTTTTCTCTAAAAAAAAATATCAATAATAATAAAAAGCAAGTCTCCTAATGCTTCATTCTTAGCTCCTAGGACAAAAGGGAAGATGTTCTATTTTTACTTATTTCACTGGACACTGGAATTAAGACAAGAAGATATACAGCAGCTTTAACCTGGGAGATTGAACTTGACAAGTAAGTTTTTTCTGTTAACACCTCAGCAGACGATACGAAATCAGTATGGGAAGCATGTACTCTACAAAATGGTGATGTTTATTTTATTATTAATTTTTAATTTTTTTATTGATTTCAGAGAGGAAGGGAGAAACATCAGTGATAAGAGAGAATGAATCATTGATCAGCTGCCTCCTGCATGCCTCCTACTTAGGATGGAGCCTGCAATCCAGGTATGAGCCCTGACTGGGAATCAAACCCGGGACCTCTTGGTCTATGGGACGATGCTCAATCCACTGAGCCACTACAGCCAGGCACCAGAATGCTGGTGTCTAGACTGGTGCAGGGAAAATTCAGGCAAAACAGGATGAAGAAAAGAATCAGGGAATGAAGATAGCCCCTGGATTGATTAACAGGCTCCCAAGCAAAGAGCCTTAGTTCAACAAGTTACAAAGCTGAGTTGTGCGGACTATTAAAGATTGAAGACCCTTCAAGGTCCAAAAAACAACTCATTATGCCCACAGGATTTCTGTACAACTTTGAAGTCATTATCCATGAAGGGAAATAAATGATCCAGCTATTTTATATTTGATCTGATTAGTACATTCAGGGGGAAAAACCACAAATATCTGTTGCTGTTCTACATACCTCATCATCCTCACCACATCCTGTATGTGAAATTGTTCCCATCTTACAGGAAGGAATGACATTCTCCAGCCCTCCTTCCTGCCTTATGTGGTATTTTCCACCCAGCGCTCCAACTGTCCCCCAGCTGGGAGACATATAGGAGCCTCCAGGCCTACCTTGCCTGATTAAACACAATCTCTCTGATTGGATTCTCCTTAGGTTACAGAAGAAAATGATCCTGCACATGCATATGCTCAGGATAGAAAAGAGAGAATGTTCCAAAGGAGGTTTGAACTTTTAGAAACAACAATGCCTTGAAAACAAGTGAAATTGTTGTATCCTGTGACTAGCTAATAGATTAGCCTGGGCAGCAAGAGCATAACCTTGAGCCTCTCATGGCTTCAAGTTAGCCCTAGCAGACAGCAGAAAAGTGTTCTCTGTGGGACCAGCATCTGCGTTGGTCTTTCCTCTGTCATGGCCACAGAGGTCTCTCTGTTTCTTCCTTCTCCACCTTGCTTCTCAGGAGCTCCTAAACTATAGTACCAAGGGGACCCAAGTCCAGACACCCCAAAAAGCCCCAGATGTGAGGCCTCTAGCTGTGCAGTTTGGTCTGCTTGGCCAGCTAGGGGCGCCCCCGGGGAGATGGGCTGGGCTTCTGTGGTCTCTCTGAGTCCTGAGGCTCCTACACTTAGGGGGGGGGGGGGAGGGGATTAAAAGCAAATTTGATTTTGGATTCAAATCACTTTATAGCATGATCTTTGAAGTATATGTAAATTCCACAAAAGAGGCAAAGTCCAGAATAAAAAGAGAGTAAAACTAAAAATTAGGGAAAGTATCCCTGAGTAGCCAAAGTCCTATGTACTTGTCCAAATGTATGTAGCCAGGTCTAGAATCAGAATAGATTTAAAATCTCCCCCATGTCCTTCAAGCATGTCACCCCTCATCTCTCTGTCAGGCTGACATTCTATCTGTCCAACATCTCCTGCCCCTCTGTCCCTTCCTTTGCCTCACCTAGACCCTCAGCAGCATTCCCAGACCTCAATCCAGCCTCACCCAATAGGTGACCTCAGGCCCTGTGTCGGATGCTACCACAATTCCGCTTCGTGACTTTTAAGTTAACAAGAAAAATGGGAGTTTGTAAGGTTTAACTCACGAGACATCCAAAAATAATGGAATGAGGGATGAAACAGAGTGTTCTTCATGCTCGGTTTGGAAAGGAATAAAGGAACCAAAACCTAATTGAGAGCATCTCCTTGAGATAGTAAGAAGGCCATTGGGACCTGTGTTATAACATGCTTGACTCCTTATTTCCCCTGTGAGTTTTCTTAGTGACCTAGAATGCTGATGGATGGGGCCTGCATTCAGGTAAACATTTAACCTTTATCTAGTCTTGGACATCAAAGACCAGTTTAGGCGTCCCAATTTTTCTGAATAGAAATTGGGACAAGGTCTACAATGACTTTATCCACAGAGAAACAAACTAAACCTGGACCAATGCAAATAGTATCTCTAAAGGGAATTCATCAGGTACATGAATAATTGCCTAACAAAGGGATCCCAGAAGAACATTTCTATTTATTCACAGGGCAATGTTCTACTCAATATTTTGTTGACCAAATTAATTTGCCCAAAAAGAAGGATACTGTGAATCTTCAGTATATTGGCTCATTTTTTGTTCAGAATGGCCTTCCTGTAAACTCTAAATTATTTCTATACTAAGAGTCCAGTGCATGAATTTGTGCACCTTGAAAGGAACTGTGGGCCATGGGGTGGGTCTTGGCCCATCCTCTGCACCCCTGCCCACCCCTTCCTGCTACACCCTCCACCCCCAGTTCCCTGTCTGCCAGCAGTCCTGCACCTGCTGCTGCCATTCCCATGTGCTCATGGCACCTGCTGACACTCCTGGTTGTCAGCACACTTCATAGCAACCAGTTGTTCAGTTGTTCCACTGTTTGGTCTATTTGCATATTAGCCTTTTATAATATAGGATAGGATGCTTACCCTCAAATCTGTAGAATTTATAATTCCATCTCATCAAAAGAATTTTTCATAAGAAAGAAATATTAAGTTGTAACTTATATCAATGTTTTTAAACTGCCTCAAGAACTCAAAAGTAGTTGGGCCAGTGTGGTTCAGTTGTTTGAGCATTGTCTCATGCACTGAAAGGTTACCAGTTCAATTCCCAGTCAGGGCACATGTCCAAGTTGCAGGTTCTGTCCCTAGTTGGGTTGCATGCAAGAGGCAACTGATGGATGTTATTCTCTCACATCAATGTTTCTTTGTCTCCCCTTTCACTCTCTCTGAAATCAATAAATTTTTTTATATATTTTTAAAAATATCTCAAAAGTAAATATATCTAGGCTAAGTAGGTCGGGTTCCATTACTCACTCATGCTGGCCAATACCCTTCCCTCCCAATCAAATACTTTGAACTCTTTTGCATATTGAACCTATTATTCTGCTGTTTGTAAAGGGGACTTGAAAACTACTGACATTGGTGGGCAGGCTGCCATTGATAGATTGTCCTCAAACAGTACCAGCTCCAACACCCCCACTGGCAAGAAACAGTGGGAAATCTGGGTCTTTTCTTGATGATGGAATCCAGATGTTTCCTTCATTCAGGGAAGAAGGGATGGATGGAACCTACAAATTGCTTCTAGACTTTAAAGAAGTGTCCAACTTAAGTAGGCAAAATATACCTTTTAATGAATGTTGTACTATAACCATTCCTGCATTCTGGTGTTTAAAAAAAAGAAAAAAAACACAAACAAACCAACAAAACAAAACAAAACCCTAAAGAGCAATTATGGAAAGCAGATGTTTACAAATGCAGTCATCATTTAAGGAATGGAAAGTACAGAGTTCAAGTACAACCTACTTAAAGGAAATTCAAACTGTAATTACAGAGCAGCTAAATGGTTATTCATATTACAAAGTGTTATTTTTCCCCCAGAGCATTTCTCTACTTAGCACGGTCACTTGGCATTTAAAATAGAACTCATTTACAAACAATGTTTAATTTATATACAACTTCAGGAAATATGCATGGGAGTAAAATGAGTGGGAAGAAGGATCAGAAGGGAGAATGTAATAGCCCCATTCTGTAAGTGTCTGTCGGAAGTTGTAGAGTTCCCAAATATTGATGCAAAGTAAGGCAAGAGGAAGCCTGTGGGGTGACAATAATCACAGTGACTTCCCCCCCCCCCCCAAATAACGATTCTTAGCCTGCTTTCCAAGCAGATTTTTTAGAACTATGGCTAAAATTTCCCAGACACAGAGATTAGCATGAGGCTATAATACAAAGATATATCACTTTGGACACGTGGAATACAATAAATATGGTAAAGTCATGGATTTATGTCACTTTGGACAGATAGGATACAACGGATATGGTATCCTCATGGATATAATGCAAGGATATATCACCTGAACACAAGTGTATTCATTTAGACACAGGTTGGAGTTTTTTATTCAAATAATGTTTCAAATCTTTGTTGCAAGAAAAATAAAAATGAGGCAACAGACAGATATCTTCCTGTTTTAAAATATCAGGAAACCCTGGCCAGTGTGGCTCAGTTGGTTGGGCATAGTCCCATGCACCGAAGGGTTGCCAGTTTGATTCCCAGTCAGGGCATATACCAGGTTGCAGGCTCGATCCCTGTGGGGGCCGTGGGAGGCAGATCTATGTTTCGCTCTCACATGAATCTCTCTCTCTCTCTCTCTCTCCCTACAAAAATCAATTTTAAAATCTTTAAAAAAAAATCTTCAAATTACAAAGACAAGAAATAATTTGGTCCAAAGGAGATCAGTACACTTAGCTTCAGGCACTGGGGTAGAGCAGAAAGAGTCCTTTCCAGTGGGTTCAAGAGTGATATTGGGGCATCACCAAGAGAGACCCTCTTCAGGTTCCCCACCATCCACTTGGCTTCCAGTGGGAGAGAGATATAAAGCAAGCAGAGGCTGAGACTGGCATTACTAATTTGCATTTTATAAATGTCTAAGCAACTGAAGCAGGTAACACATAAATATGGGTGTTTTGAGAATAAATCATATCCGTACAATGAGTTTATTTCCTCTGGCTCTACTACCAAAAAAAAAATGGACAGAGAAGAAGGCAAGGAGGGAGAGAAGAGGATGGAAAAGGGGAAGAGAGGGGAGAGAAAGGAAGGAACCAGAAGAGAATGGGGTGGGGGCAGGGGGGAGAGAGAGGATGAATGCGTTTCCAAAGGTGCTTAATTCCCAGGAAATTATATTGTGGCAATTCAGAGGAATCTGTGAGTGGAGACGGGAATACCAACTCTGCTCACTTTGAGGGATGGCAAGAAAGGTCTTGGGAACACATTGGTCTCCAATGGATGGGGCCTGTTTTCCTTCTTGGCCTCCTTGAAAATGCACTTTTGGGTGTTCATGGGAGGCCTCAGCTCCCTGGCTTTGAATTTGGCTTTGTAGCTTCGCCCTCTCTGTTTTTGCAAAAGCTGCCCAGTGCTGAGACATTGAACACTATTGGGATTGGGAGGGCACATCAGGTTTTTCTTGGGCAGGAGGGACCAGTGCAGGCAGCCCAGCTCTGGATTGGCCAGCAGGGATGTCCCAACCCTTGGTGGAGGAAAAGGCTGCATGCAGTTGAACTTAAGGTGCTTGGCCAGCTCAAGGGGTCTCTTTCCATCTTTCCCTCCAACTATTTTCAATCCATATGCACAAGCCACACACTCATCCTTTTCCACACTCAGCACCTTCTCTTCTGGCTGCAAGAGAGAGCTCTTACTCTTCTTACCCTGAGCATACAAGCCATTTGGGGCTGAAGAATTCAGAGGAGGGAGAACTAAAAGGGCCTTGGATTTCAATGAGTTTGAGATGGAGGGACCTTGGTCAGTACTGCTGTTGGAGTGTTGGCCCCTAACAGTCCCGGGGACGGCACACTCTTCCATGCACCAAATAAACTCCTTTATTTGCAGACCTTTTTTATCTCCCTGACTGTGGGAGGGAAAGCACATCTTGCTAATATTCCTGGAGGCAGTGGTGGGGCAGCCAGTGGGGACACCTCGATCGCCCTCTGAGCCTGCCTCAGCCAGAGCCCTTGACTCCAATCTTCCAGCCTCGGTCTCAGGCCCAGTCTCGGGGATCCCTTGGGAGAGACTGACACAGAGTAAGCAGCCTCTGACACTTTCTCCCACCTTCGCCTTTTTACCTTTCTTTCTGGACAAAAGGCAAGCAGTTGGAGAAGTCTTTCCCCAGCCTCGAACCTGGAAATAAAGCAGCATATTACTCTCAGCTGATTGGCCACCCCAATTTTGGTCCCATTTCCATTTTGGCCATTTGAACTAATATTTTTCTTTAAACAAATGTCTTTTTTAGAAAAAAATCTTTCAATACCTATTTTAGCCTCATATACATAGTATTTTAAAATCTGAAATACGAGCAATAGGATTTTTAAAATACTAAGCAATAGGATCTGTAATTGCCTACCTTAATGTGATGACTATGTATTTTTTCAGATCTACATTAAATAAAAGTCAATTCAAAACTATTTGTCCTTGTTACCACCCTCCCCCCGCCCCCCCAAGAAAGCCATCCAGGCTTTCTTGTCCTTCCAGCTCTGTTTACCATACTCAGGAAACTGCTGCATGGGGGGTAGGGAGAGGTGGGTGGGAGAGGTGGCTGGAGAGAGAGAGGATGAGCAAAGGCAGGTCTATGTCAACAGCCCTTGGATGTATATTTCAAACAGTTACCTTCAATAGTAAACTGAACCATCTAAACTTAGAAAGCTTTAAATTCGTAAATAGGACAGCCTATTGCCCAGACTTATCTGGCACAGGAACGTGTGTTTGGAAGGTTATAACTGCGGTGGGGGCAGTCCAGCAGAGATAGTATTAGAGGAGGGCTCTTGAAGACATGATTCTCTCAACTGTCAGTGGACTTGGGTGAATCACTCTGCCTTGTCTTGCCATCAGTTTCCACATTTATAAAATCTCTAATAAACCGAGTAGATTAGAGATTCTCAACCTTGACACGACTAATGTTTGGGGCTTGGGCTTGTTACGAACTGTATGTTTGTGTTTCTCCTAAAGTCCCATGTTTAAACCCTAATCTCCAATGTGATAGTATTTGGAGGTGCAGCATTTTAGGTGATTAGGATTAGATGAGGTCAAAAGGATGGGGCCCTCATGATGGGATCAGTGTCCTTATACAAAAAGGAGGAGTCAAGGGATCTCTCACTCTCGCTCTCGCTCTCTCTCTCTCTTTCTCCCTCTCCCCCCCTCTCTCTCTCCTGTACACAACAAAGGTGGCCCTCACCAAGAACCCAACCATGCTGACACCTGATCTTAAATGTCCACCCTCTAGAACTGGAAGAAATAACTGACTGTTGCTTAAGCCACCCTGTCTATGGTGCTCAGGTATTGCAGCCTGAACCACACAGGGATGGCTTATTCCTTGCCTGGGTGCTGTCTGGGGCCTGTTTAGGAGCAGCACGCCTGGCCTCCACCCATCAGAGGCCAGTAGCATCTCCTCCCCTCACCCCTTGTTGCGACATTACCAAGTGTCACCTGAGAAACAGTAGATCAAATTTCTTTTTCATTCTAAATTTAGGATGCTATTCTTGATTCTGAGAATACGGTTAAACCCACGGGGTTCTGAGTAGAATCACTGGGACAGAAATCTCAGGCCTCTTGGGGGAATTTAGTACAGAAGTTAAGAAGCTCAGGTTCTCAAGTCCAGAAGAATTTGGCCACTGGCTGAGTGATCTTCAGCACATTATTCACCCATTGGGTGCCTTAGTATCCTTGTCAAAAAGTGAGGCTGTTCATAAAACTGCCACATAGGACTAATGCGAGGTTGAGTGAAGCATTTAATACTGTAGTTGCACCAAAACTAGTTTGACTCAGTGGATAGAACGTCGGCCTGTGGACTGAAAGGTCCCAGATTCAAGGGCATGTACCTTTGTTGCGGGCACATCCCCTGTGGGAGGTATGCAGGAGGCAGCTGATCGATGTTTCTCTCTCATTGATGTTTCTAACTCTCTATCCCTCTCAATTCCTCTCTGTAAAACAATCAATAAAATATATTTAAAAAATACTGTAGTTGCCAATACTGAGTGACATAAATGCTCAATAAAAGGTACTGCTATTCTCATCATTAATATTTTACCTCTGTTCCAAATACTTCTATATTTAACTGTTTACATATTTATTTATTTTTGGTAATAGTAACTATTTTTGAAAAAAGTAAAAAGGGCTTGCATCCGAACACTGATATTCAGGCCCTGGCGGAGTAGCTCAGTTGGTTAGTGTGTCATCCTGATAAACCAAGGTTGTGGGTTCATCTCTAGTCAGGGCACATACAAGAATAAACCAAAAGCCCTGACCAGTTTGGCTCAGTGGATAGAGCATCAGACTGCGGACTGAAGGGTCCAGGTTCAATTCCAGTCAAGGGCATGTACCTTGGCAGCTGATTGATGTTTCTCTCTCATCGATGTTTCTAACTCTATTCCTCTCCCTTCCTCCCTGTAAAAAAAAATCAATAAAATATATATATATTTTAAAAAAAGAATGAACTAATGCCTGCATAAATGAGTGGAGCAACAAATTCATGTTTCTCTCTCTCTCTCTCTCTCTCTCTCTCTCTCTCTCTCTCTCTCTCTGTCATCAATAAAAATTTAAAAAAAAAAAAAAAAAACTTTATAAAACAACAACCAAAACACTAATGTGCAAGAGACCTAACTTAAGAAGATACTTACTGCTTCTTCCCATCCAGTTCCGATAACAAACTTTTTGGCTTTTTCATCTTGTTCAAACGTGATGTCACTGATATTGAGAAGACAACAAACATGATTCTTTTCCCTTCTTTCATCTGAATAAGTACACTTTAATTCAGTTTCTTCTGTGCTTGGAATTTCATTATTTTCACTATTTTCTAACTCTGTCTCATTTTTCTGACAGAGATCCATAACTGTGATTACTCTGATGATTGCTTAAAGTTTTTAACATCTTCTTCCTGCAGTTTGAAATGTGGATTGAACTCAGTTTTAATTTTCTTTTTAAAGTATACTAGTAATCAGGTGATATATTTTCAACACATTCAGGAGTAGACTCTGAAGAAATATTACAAAACCAGCCATTGCCAACTATTAACAATATAAAAGATAAGTATAATTTTAATTAAGACTAATGGATGTAAAGACCAAAGTTGAGAGTGAAGACAAGATGATGTTTAACAAGCCCCTCCCCCCCCCATGATGGAGTACAGATTACAGTAAGAAATGTAGCTTCACTACCCTCCACTCCCAAAAGCCCAGATGATATTGTGCTAATAAGAGAACTGTAGTGGATATGTGCGACATATGCACACAGGCCTTCTCCTCTTTCTCTTCCCAACAACTATGGTTATCAGCTTGGGGATCCTTAGGCTTCTGAGGAAACTGGTAGAGCATATAGTCTAAGCTAGTCAATCAGTTTACCCTCCTCCACCATATACAACTGGTATCTTTATTAAGAGGGGAAATTTGGACACAGACTTGCATAGAGGGAAGATAATTTGAAGAGACACAGGGAGAAGATGGCCATCTACTAGCGAAGGAGAGTGGCCTGGACCAGATCCCTCCTCACAATCGTCAGGAGGAATCTGCCCTGCCAACACCTTGACTTTGGACGTTGAGCCTCTAGGACGTACAAGCTCTGTTGTTTATGTCACCCAGTCTGTGGCCCTTTGGGGTGGCAGCCCTAGAGAACTACTACAGTAGATGATGGTGATAGTGTGATGGTGGCGGAAGTGATGATGATGATGATGCTATCTACTTTTAATTGATGCTTTTCCCAAGTTGAAAATGGGACTTGGCATTTATAATCCAGTCAAAGGGTTAAAAAGTTTATATCCTAATTTTGAGCACAGACTTGAGTGCCAAACAAAACTAGCTGTGTAAGACTTAGATAAGTTACTTTTCTGGGTCTGTTTGCTCGTATGGAAAGGGCATGATTACAACACTTTCCCACAGACAGATGTTCCTCCTGGGGTCTGCAAAAGCTGCATCAATGAACTCTTAATGCCTAAGCAGCTGAGTGCTAATGAACAGCCCGTGGAAGTCCTTGAGGAAGTCCTTGCTTGTAATGAAATAAAGTCCCTGGGGACCACACATCTTGCTTTCTATCACCCCAACATGATCCCTGCCAAAAACCCACATTTTTTTCCTTTTCTTTTGAGGTAGAGTCGAGTAACTTCTTATAACAGTATCTGTTCAATTACCATTTCAGCTTATTTATTTAGGCTTAGAGTGGCATTTAGATGGCAATAAAATTCCATTTACCGATGGAAGGTCAAATATCTCTGGACATCCTAACCTTTCCAGTATGATATCAGAGGAAATGAATGAGATCTGAAAGAAAAAAACTTATATTACAAGTGACTAAAAACTAGACGTGCTATTTTATTTACAAACAACATGACAGAGGACCTGACAGGTTGTGCAAACCAGCCGGATCCTCTCCTATTGTGAAATTCTACTTCAGTCCCTGTCCAGGCCAAAGAAGCTCCTATAAATGCATTCTGATCTTGTTCTCTTCTAAATTACATATACATTTGAACCAGAGAACCCCTTAGACTTATCAAGTGTACAGTTCAAAAGGAAAAAGACAAAGAATCAAAAGGAAAGTCATTTATTAAAAAATAAAATAATCTTAAATTTGAGGCTATTATAGCAAAGAAATAGATATTATTTAGGAGAGATTAAGTAGTGCTGGAATGCTTGAATCAATAAGAAGAACGTTTATTTTTGCTTAAAATATAATATCTCTACTGACAAGGCGTTTACTACTTAGAGAATTTTCTCAAATGGCAAAGTAATTTACTGGTTCTCAAACTTAGCTGCACCTTGGAATCATCGGGGGAGCTTTATCCTATATAATAAAGAGGGAATATGCTAATTGATCCTCACACCATCACAAAGATGGCAATACCCACAGCCAATAAAGAGGGAATATACTAATTGACTACCATGCCCTCAAAGATGGCAGTACCCACAGCCAATAAGGAGGGAATTTGCTAAATGACTGCCCCACCCTCAAATATGGTGTTGCCCACAGCCAATGAGGAGGGTCTATGCTAATTGATTGCCATGCCCTCAAAGATGGCAGCACCCACAGTCACAAAATGGCAGTTGCCCAACCTCCCAGAGCTGCCAAGGCAGGTAACCAGGGCTGGCCGAGGTTTGCGCTGCCAGCAGTGGCAGCAGCAGAGATGTGAAGGGGGCCCTGAACATGGGCCCCTAAAGGCTCCAGGACTGTGAGAGGGGGTGGGCTGGGCTGGGGAACTCCCACTCCAGTGCATGAATTTTCATGTACCAGGCCTCTAGTATAAAATAAAAATGCCCGACCCCATCCACAGAGATTCTGATTATAATTGGACTGGGCACAACTTGGTCATCAGGAATTTTTTTTAATGTGAATTATTTTTAAAAAGTATTTTTGTTGATTTCAGAGAGAAAGGGAGAGTGAGGAAAAGAGAGATAGAAACATCAATAATAAGAGAGAATCATTGATCAGATGCCCGCTGCACACCCTCTATCAGGGACGGAGCCAGTAACCTCAGGGTTGTGCCCTGACCAGGAACTGAACTGTGACCTCCTGGTTCCTAGATCAATGCTCAACCACTGAGCCATATCCAATCAGGCAGGATTTCTTAAATCACCTGAGATGATTCTAAAATCCAGCAAAATTGGAGAGCTAGTGCTCTGTTAAAAAGCTCTTTCTTATATTGAACCAACACTGCTTTTCCTGCTTCGCTCCCTGGCCCTACCTTTGCCCTCCAGAGCAAGGCTCTGTGCCCATTCTTGGATGAAGTTAAGAAAGTCTATGTTAGAGTCAGCCTTCAGACTGAAAGGTCCTGGGTTTAATTCCAGTCAAGGGCACATGCCCTAGTTGTGGGCTCCATCCCAAATATGGAGCATGCAGGAGGAAGCTGATCAATGATTCTCTCTCATCACTGACGTTTCTATCTCTCTCTCCCTCTCCCTTCCTCTCTGAAATCAACAAAAATATGTTTTAGAAAGAAAGAAAGAAAAAAATAAAGGAAGGAAGGAAGGAAGGAAGGAAGGAAGGAAGGAAGGAAGGAAGGAAGGAAGGAAGGAAGGAAACCTGACCAGTGTTGTTCAGTGGTTGAGCACTGACCCATGAACCAAGAGGTCCGTGGTTCAATTCCCAGTCAGAGCACATGCCCAGGATGCAGGCTCGATCCCCAGTAGGGGTATGCAGGAGGCAGCTGATCCATGTTTCTCTCTTATCCATGTTTCCATCTCTCTATCCTTCTCCCTTCCTCTCTCTCTAAAAGACAAATAAAAACATATCTTTAAAAATCAAAAGTCTATGATGCCGCTGAAGATGTTCAATGTGTTTTTTTTTTTTTTTCAGAGAAGGGCCTGTATCTGAGTTACAAAGCAGTCTGCTACTACAAAAGATTGGAGAATAATTGATACAGAGATTGTCCACTGCCCCAGCCTCCCAACAACCCTTTGAAAAAGCTCATGCATTCTTCTCTTTAGGTTAACCATCTCCAGTGCCTTCAACTACTCCTCACATGCCAAGAGCATATGTGAAATCTGAGAGGAAGACTAACTATATCGCTGTCTCTATATATCTAGAGAGAGAAACAGCAGAGACCAAGGATGCATTATTGGATAAGTCTGTATATTGGAGTCAGCAGAATTGGACCCAATGAGGCCACCAGAAAAGGTTCCAGTCACCTTATACTACAAAGTGTCAAAAGAAAGCCAGGTAACAATAATTTAATAATAAAACTTCCTATAATATAGCTATTACTATCTGCAAATCTTTGCTATAAGCACTTTACATATTTGTTATAAAGAGTACATTTTTATAAGTACTGTACTCATTTAATGAGGGATCATAAGAACTATATTGACTCCTTATGACTAAAAACTAAGAATCATCTCTGTTGGTAAACATAGTATTCTTAGTGAAATGGTCAGATTTCTACATACTGGATTGCTCCTCCAGAACCCTGGTATCTTCAAGCAAGCTAGATCAAGATGCTCCACAACTAAAACAATATTGGTGGTCTTTTCCTAATCAGAAAAAAAATCAGTTAGTGGAAAGCATAGTTTTAATTTTAAGTTTCCTGTCTATAAGCATGCCAAGTTTCACTGCTCATTCTTGTCTTTTAGCACTTGTAAGAGATGACAAATAGAAATGTACTTTTTACAATTCTATGCTGTTTTACTTTTGTGTTGGAATACATAAATCTGCACTAATATAATACTTATATTTTTTATAATAAAATTATGCCAACTTTACAGATTTGAAATCAATCAAAAATTGATGCTGTTCTACTTATTGACTTTCAGTGGGCTTAACAATCGAAGTCTGTTATAAAGTAAACATCAAAGTCTGGTTATTAATGTGTTTTTTCTTCCTAAGAAAATCACATTAAGAAAGCACAAAGATGCCCTAACTGGTTTGGCTCAGTGGATAGAGCGTTGGCCTATGGACTGAAAGATTTCAGGTTCGATTCAGGTCAAGGGCATATACCTCCCCAGTAGGAGGTGTGCAGGAGGCAACTGATCAATGTTTGTCTCTCATCTATGTTTCTAACTCTCTCTCTCTCTTCTTCTCTATAAAAAAATCAATAAAATATTTTTTTAAAAATAGCACATAGCCGTCCAGTGTACTTTAAAAAAAAAGAAAGAAAAAAAGAAAGAAAAAGAAAGCACAAAGATCATAGTGTAAAATGCTACCATGGGAAAATGCATTTGCAGATGCAACTAAACATTGGATTTGGAGTACAAAGCAGGAAGGAACACAGATGTAGGCCAGAAGGTATTAAATTCCATGACATACACTAGTGAAGTGACTCAAACCAAAATGTACAAAGAAGAAAATGTTGACTGAGGTCCAAGCTCCCAAAGCACATGCTTGAATAAACATGAATAAACATGAAGAA